GTGCACTATCGAAGATGAACTTAAACGAGATCGTACTGTATGATGAAAGAATGAAAGATGGTGGATTTAAAGCTCGGTGAAACAAAAGTGAAGATGAAATCATCAGCGTGTCACGAGCGTGGGGCAAAGAGAAAATCTGAGTCTTCCCCGACAGGATTCGAACCTATGACCTCCTAAATACCAGGCGGGCGCTCTATCCTCTTGAGCCACGGAGAACTCAAGGGGAGCGAGGCCAATTATACTAAGTTCATATTTGACACGCGTTCTGCATACTGCATAACTTCTAATTTAGTTACAGCACAAATATTGGAACCATATCTTGAAAAAATTCTAATTTGTCTTTTGTATTATTGAACTGTTCTCTACTCAGGTATGGACGAAATGCAATGGACTCGTGGTTTGTTACCATTCTTAAGTAAGTCATGAGCAATCGAAGGTGAAATGCTGAAAGTTCAGGGACACCCAGCGACGGTTTCCTCCTAAAAACATTTAAAACACTTTTTAGGCTATCCAGAGTACTTTAATAACTCTACAGAAATGCATTTTGAGAGACGCTATGAATCTACCTGGTCATTCTAAGGCAATCGGAGTCTTCCCGAAATTACAAGGACTTCAGGGTTTAGTTTCCAGAAAATCTGAGATGCAGTTTAAAGTTTTACGAAAGTGAGATTTTTACTGGTTCCTCTCTCCATCACATTTTCGAATCCGAAAACTTTAGGTTTCCTTTTTCTACGAAAAATAGCTTAACCTAGGGAGTTGAATGCGAAAAATTAATTTCAGAAAATTGTAGGGGATTTACTAGGTAAGCTTCGAAAATTGTACCTTATTGGAACGGTCATCTAGATATTTTTAGTCGTCTTCAAGTTATAGAAAAGTCCAGACAATTTTTGCTTCTCCAAACAGTCGCTGGGTGCCCTAAGACAAGACAAGACAAGAAAGACAAGACTAAACAAGAGAATTGACGTCAACGTAGCGTTACCGAAAGCTAGTACCGTAGTAACCTTCTTTCGTTTATAGGGTCTAATAACAGTTGTAAAGATAGGGAATCAACTCGCACAGAAACTTTTTGTTCATTTTTAAGTGTCTCTACTTTTACGGACAACAGTTTTCGTGTATAGTCAACTACTCTCAAGACGGACATCAGTCAGTGGTGGATCCAGGGGAAGGGCCCCCCTTACTTTTAGACCAAACTGAGGTCCGAAGGGCAGAAAAAAAATTTTGTTGAGTCCGGGCTCCTCCCTTATCTCAGGGTCTGGATGACCGCCCCCCTCTCTTATCTGAAGGTCTCATCCGCCACTGTACTTACATACAAACAGTATCAAAAATTACGTGTATTGTCTTTGATAACAGCTACCTTTGTGTTGATGACATCTGCCTCAGTGTTATCATCAGATCATACAAACAGCAAGTCGAGGGGTCTGTTGGATGCAGCAGTGAATTCAAATGAGGTAAGCCAAAATACAGCCGCTGTACCTTCATCGTCTTCTCTGTCGATGTCATCCTCAAAAGATTTTCATTCAAGTACTTTGGCCATAAGTAGTTCGCCATTTGAGGTACTGAGCGCTGGCATGGCAAACAAGCAAACTATAGCCCCCTTAACGTTGGTCTCGTCTGTGCTGGTGTCGTCATCAGTTCTTGTGTCAACATCAGTTGTTCCTTCAAGCGCTCTATCCAGAAGTTACTCATCATCTGTCGCAACAATGAGCTCGAATCTGATCACAGAACAAGGTACATCCGCACTGCCCTCGGTGTCTTCCTTAATTGTGTTATCGTCAGCTATTTCTCTGAGTTCTCTGAGCAGTTTGCCACGAGGTCATTTGTCATCTGTTGTAATGAACACTACTTTGGCAATAGATAAAAGTACGCCTGAAACACCTTCACCATCTTCTATGCTGCTTGTATCTTCAACAGTGGTTTCGCAACAGTCAGGTACGTTATTTTCAGATGATCTCATTGAGATACAACGAACATTACAGTCGAACCTTCACGTGAAACCATCTCGACATCCTCCTCTAACCGACCATGTATCCAAACTACCAAAAGTTTCCCAGTCAGAGCCCTATAATTGGAACCTCTCTAAAACGACCGCCTCCTACAAGCGACCGTAGTAACCTTCTTTCGTTTATAGGGTCTAATAACAGTTGTAAAGACAGGGAATCAACTCGCACAGAAACTTTTTGTTTATTTTTAAGTGTCTCTACTTTTACGGACAACAGTTTTCGTGTATAGTCAACTACTCTCAAGACGGACATCAGTCAGTGGTGGATCCAGGGGAAGGGCCCCCCTTACTTTTAGACCAAACTGAGGTCCGAAGGGCAGAAAAAAAATTTTGTTGAGTCCGGGCTCCTCCCTTATCTCAGGGTCTGGATGACCGCCCCCCTCTCTTATCTGAAGGTCTCATCCGCCACTGCACTTACATACAAACAGTATCAAAAATTACGTGTATTGTCTTTGATAACAGCTACCTTTGTGTTGATGACATCAGCCTCAGTGTTATCATCAGATCATACAAACAGCAAGTCGAGGGGTCTGTTGGATGCAGCAGTGAATTCAAATGAGGTAAGCCAAAATACAGCCGCTGTACCTTCATCGTCTTCTCTGTCGATGTCATCCTCAAAAGATTTTCATTCAAGTACTTTGGCCATAAGTAGTTCGCCATTTGAGGTACTGAGCGCTGGCATGGCAAACAAGCAAACTATAGCCCCCTTAACGTTGGTCTCGTCTGTGCTGGTGTCGTCATCAGTTCTTGTGTCAACATCAGTTTTTCCTTCAAGCGCTCTATCCAGAAGTTACTCATCATCTGTCGCCACAATGAGCTCGAATCTGATCACAGAACAAGGTACATCCGCACTGCCCTCGGTGTCTTCCTTAATTGTGTTATCGTCAGCTATTTCTCTGAGTTCTCTGAGCAGTTTGCCACGAGGTCATTTGTCATCTGTTGTAATGAACACTACTTTGGCAATAGATAAAAGTACGCCTGAAACACCTTCACCATCTTCTATGCTGCTTGTATCTTCAACAGTGGTTTCGCAACAGTCAGGTACGTTATTTTCAGATGATCTCATTGAGATACAACGAACATTACTATGGAACCTTCACGTGAAACCATCTCGACATCCTCCTCTAACCGACCATGTATCCAAACTACCAAAAGTTTCCCAGTCAGAGCCCTATAATTGGAACCTCTCTAAAACGACCACCTCCTATAAGCGACCGCGACCACCTTTTGATTTTAATATAATAGTTTTCCGTTGTTTTTGAACCCCTTGTAAGCGACCACTCGACGCTCGACCACTCTATGTTCGCTGTACGTACCACTCCACTCAGATTATATGAAGAAATTTAATTTTAACAACATGGAATAACAAGTATTCGAACTTGCGAATTCCAGGCAATTAACTCGCTGCTCTGCCAAAAAGGAAGATGTGAAAACCACAGAGTCGTGGTGTCTGAGGAGAATTAGCAGAATTTTCGGGCATCAAAAGGGCAGCAAAATTTAATAAACAGCTCATGAATAAATGCGCGGGAAACTTGTTTAATTTATGCTAACCATGTTCAGGCAAGTACTAGTAATGACGTCACAACACCATAAGGTCCATTTGACAGTTTTTTAGCAAGCCCATATTGTCAGAAGAGATCCCTTGTGGTTTATTGCTCGTTTACTGGAGGTTAACAGCGTCCTAAACAGGCGGAGTAACAATACGTGCTCAATTTCTTTCTACAAGAAGATAGTCTGCACCTAGACATGATAATTTGGCTTACTATTACAACAAATTAAGCTTCTTTTCGTTGAACTGATTTGGCTAATTTCTTCTGGTGTTATTTCTTCAGGCAGCCGAACCAGATTTTTACGCCATCTGACTCTGAAAGAATACAGTGCTCGATAGCAAGGAGGGTTCTCAAAGCGTTTTGTGGAAAAATTGAGAGAATTGTAATGAAAAATTTTATTTGAAGGAGAAAATTTCTGGGGACGAGGTCTAGATGCAAACTTATGCTTCGTTCACACGGCACCAGACGAATTGTCGACCAGTTGAACATTCGAGCGTTTAGGATATGATCTGTTAACTGAACAGCTCAAAATTTGATCGCCAAAACCGAGGTCAATCTTTAGCCGATACGGCCCTGTTAGTTATTTTAAATTTGCCGCCAAGGCCATTAAGCCTCACTTCCATGCAACTTCCGTTTTTTTTCTGGAATCGGAGTATTATAAAATTTCTTTGGCTTTGTGGGTTCCATTTTCGCTGAAGAAAGCTCTCCGGCAAGAGCCAATCATGTACGGCGAACAATCTAGTTTGCGGTTAACCTTCCTCGTATAAGAAAATCGCGAAAGCAACACGATAGATACTGGCTTCTTGTTGGGCACTAAATTATTTTTTGTGCCAAATCACAGACAATTTTTCGAATAAGTCGTGAAACTGGTTCGTCAAGAGTAGCATCTCAGCGGTAGTCTCGCCCATTCTTAAAAACTTTCGACGCCGTTTTTCCTGACTCAACTGACCGCCCCTGGGTCTCCAAGGATGCTTGTACCAAAGTGATAACTATAATATTTTTTACAAACACATTTCTCATATATATTAGTTAAAGTTGCGTCGTCTGTGAGTTTTCCTGATGTAGCTGTTTTTCACATAGGCTTTCATAACAAAGAAAGTCAACCTGAACGACAGAACAAATCTCCATATTAAATAAAGCGCAGGCGCTTAATACCCACTAACATGTTCCTTTGAGTCACCGAACGGACTCTTAAAAACATCGTAGGAAGGCAATCAACTGTTTGTGGCTTGTTCACAATATAATCTCGATAACTGAAAAAAGTTATTCCAGCCACAAACCAAAAAAAGCTTCTGGCGTATCGCAAAGTTATTACAGTCCTTCCGTCCCGCATTTGGTTTTGTTCTTGTTCCTTCCCACGTTAGCTAGCTTCTTTTTTGAAAGTGGCATAATTCTAATTATCCTCAATACTTACTCTCCGTCAATTTATATTGCTTGCAGTCTGTCCCAATATGGTAACCCTGAAGGAGACATCAGGAGTTCTTACCAGTCCTTACTATCCAAGGCGTTACCCTTCTAACCAGAAATGCGGCTGGAAAATTACAGCTAATGAAGGAGAACGCATTGTGTTGGTCATTGAAGACCTTCATATTCGGGACTGTGGGTCATCTTGCACGTGTGATTATCTGGAAATACAAAATGGCTCTTCCTCTGATGGTATTTCAGGCAGGCGACGATGTAGATTTTATAAAGACCGTGGGATAGTATACCATTCGGTAAAAGATGTCCTGAGGTTGACGTTTGTTTCTGATAGTGGTATACGTACTGACCGGTACTACCGTGGATTTAAGGCAACTTACATTAAAGTGAAATATATTGCAACAACCACTGGTAAGTTATTTAGAAATCGGCTTTAAACAATAAGTTAAAGGATTAAGTGCAGGCGATCAACTTTCAACCAAGTTATATGAAATATCATTGCCTTATAACAGGCTTATAGTAACTGTAATATTCAAATACTTTACGGAGTAAAACAACCCACAATAAAACGCCGATCAAATGCCAACAATTTTCATTCCCATGGTGTTAAAAGTGTTTGGTGGAAAATCTCCTATTTTTTCATAATTATCTATTACAAAGCTTTCGATTTGGTTTTTTGTTTTGCTTTGTCTTTTTTTTGTTTCAGACAGATTACTCTTTGATTTTGTATTATAAAGCTAGATCACAGTTTATTTCCTCTTGTTCTAGCTTGTACGTCTGGCGAATACCTTAATGGATGTAGTGGATTCTTTTCAACTCCAAATTTTCCAAATAACTATCCTCAATACAGCATGTGTACCTGGAATATCACAGTTCCCAGTGGGTACATAATTAAACTCAGCTTCCTCAACTTTCGATTGGAGCCATATCAGTACAATCCCTGCTATTATTATACTCCAGGAGCCCGTGTTACAGTCACAAATGTTACTTCAGATGGTGGGTATCAACCGTTCATGCTGTGCGGTCAACAACATCCAGATCCAGTGTACTCTGTGGGGAATTCCGTTCAAGTCATATTCACGTCTCTGAGCAGTCAGTACTCAGGGTTTAATGCAACTTACACGGCTATCACTTATAGTTCAGGTACGTGGGATACATTATAAAAACAAAAACAATTACTTTTTATGAGGTTAGATCGATCTCACACTATCAGACAATGTCGGTACTTAACAGGCGACCAAAAGAATCGACACCGAAATTATTGACGTATTACTGCTTGAAAATGTAAAAGAGCAAAAGAGGAACACGATTGGATCGGTAAAACTGAACAAGATATAGCATTCAGGTATATTTAAAGAACACGTGTATTTCAAGTTTGTCGTCTTTACATCGTACGCAAGTCTGATGCTCTCGAGAATCATCAGTTTCTACGTGGAGATGACAATTTTGTTCGCCTACGAGGTCTCTTTTAAGGCTCAGAGTCAACAAAGAAAGATCAAAGTATCGAAAATAACGTGGCTTAAAGCCTTAAAATAACCAAGATATACGGGATAACATAAACTCGTGCTTGACAAGTATTGTAGTACTATTTAAGACATGGATTTTTCTTGGTGATGCAGTGGAGTGTGGTTAGAATGATATGATTAGAACGCCAAGAATGAGATTTCTCGAAACTGATTTTGAAATGGCATATATATATTTTTTTCTTATTCATTTGGAACCAATCGACAAATATGTTCATACACCACCGTAGCTCCCTCGAAAACTACACCCGATTCCAGACCAAAATGGACAAAGTCTATAACCGTTTTTAGACAAAAAAGGCGCAAAAACCATACCAATTTCTTTCTACAACAAGATAATCTGTATCTAGAATGATTTGAATCATCACACGCCGTTTCCCCATTTTCCGTCAGTTCTTCACTCTTTCTCGCTAACTTTGCTTTACATAGTGAAGAGCCTCTCTGGGTCATTGTCATATATTTTTAGATTTTTATTGCTTGCAGGTTCTTAACCCTGAGAAGAAAATTTTGTATGAAAACATGTGTCTAAACCTCTATGTAATCCTGTAGTTGAGAATAAACAGCATAAAAAGCTGATCGATCGCGCAAAGCCTGATGATGTACACCTACCTTTCCAACAGTTCCTTCTTATTACCATTTTGATTTATACGGCGGAATTTTAACCAAAACTGTAGTTGAGCAACGGTCAATTTTTCTATATCTCTTCTTCACTGAAGTCAGCAAGAGGAATGTTCCCTCAAGTAAGTCCGCCACGTTAGTTATTAGGTACCTTACGCTCCGATGACGCGATGACAACGAGGACGTCGTCAAAAAAGCAATAGGTTTGCATGGCAAAACAACAACTTTGTACGTGCATCACACTTTTTTCTACATTTCTTTTTATTGAGGACGTAAACAAGCGACGACCAAAATTTATTTCTCTTTTGGAACTTGGAAAGGGATCCTAGCAATTCAACTCCAGGGGGTTCGCTTACCTTTGATAAAGAAAATGGGTAGGAATAATCGCAATACAGGCTGAAAGAACTTAAATTCACCTTTTAAGTGACGGTTTTGCTGCCATCGCCTCATCGGATCGTAAAGTGCCTATTTTAAATTTAAAAATCTCACATCCATACAACGTCCGTTTTTTTTTTTTCTGAAATCCGAGTATTAAAGAATTTCTTTGAGGCGCTTTCCATTCAACCCAAAATTTTGAAATTTTCGGTTGGTACATCAAATGGAACGGACCGTTTTGATTTGGTCTGACCGGAACATTCGGGACCAGCTTTGAAGGTGGTCCTCTTTCACCGGTCTGGTTATTTCGGTCGTTAGGACCGAAATGTTCCTTTCCATGTGACAAAATTGTTGTTCCCAGTACTGCTCCCTTGTATCCTGGTTACAAGAACAATAACGAAACGCGCGGTAGCTTGGGTCGGGTCTATGCAACCAGAATGTACCGATCCATTGGGCTCATAAATTTCCGAAATTTCAAATAGGAATTTTTGTTGAATGGAAAGCGCCCTTGGTGTTTTGGGCTCCATTTTCGGGGAAGAAAGCTCCCCTGCAAGAGCCAAACATGTACGGTGAACGGTCGAGTTTGGAGGTAAACGTCTTCGTATAAGAAGATTACGACAGCAACGCGATAGATGCTGGCCTCTTGTTGGGCACAAAATTATCGTTTTGCACCAAATCACAGACAAGCCTTCGAATAAGTCGTGGAACTGGTTCGTTAAGAGTAGCATTCCAGAGGCTCTCTCGCCCGTTCTTGAAAACTTTTGCCGCCGTTTTTCCTGACTCAACTGACCGACACTGGGTCTCCGAGGATGCTTCTACCAAAGTAATAAATTAAAATAATTTTTACAAGTGCCCACGAACATATTTCTCATAGTTCATGTTGAGTTGTTTGTGAATTTTCCTAATGTAGCTGTTGTTCACATGGACTTTCATAACAAATAAAGACAACCTGAACGACAGAACAAATCTTCGTGTTAAAGTAAGCGCAGGCACCTAATACCTACTAAAATGTTCGTTTGAGTTATGGAACGGTCACTCTTAAAAAAAAACATCGATCGTAAGAAGGCAGTCAATCGTTTGTGATTTGTTCACAATATAATCTCGATAATTAAAAAAAAAGGTTATTCCAGACACAAACCAAAAAAGGCTTCTGGCGCATCCCTAAATTATGAAATCCCTCCGTCCCGCATTTAATTTTGATCTAATTTGTTCTCACGTTAACTAGATTCTTCCTTGAAAGTGGTATATCTATAATACTAATTGTCCTCGATACTTATAGTCGGTCCATTTATATTGCTTGCAGTCTGTCCCAATATGGCAACCCTGAAGGAGACATCAGGAGTTCTTACCAGTCCTTATTATCCAAGGCGTTACCCTTCTAACGAGAATTGCAGCTGGAAAATTACAGCAAGTGAAGGGGAACGCATTGTGTTGGTCATTGAAGACCTTTATATTCAGAACTGTGGTTCATCTTGCACGTGTGATTACCTGGAAATACAAAATGGCTCTTCCTCTGATGGTATTTCAGGCAGGCGAAGATGTAGATACAATAAAGACCGTGGGATAGTATACCATTCAGCAAAAGATGTCCTGAGGTTGATGTTTGTTTCTGATAGTGGTACTTACGGGGGGTATCGTGGATTTAAGGCAACTTACATTAAAGTGAAATATATTGCATCAACCACCGGTAAGTTATTTAGAAATCGGCTTTAAACGCAAAGTTAAAAGGTTATGTGCGGGCGATCATGCATGATCAGGTGATCAACTTTCAACCAAGTCATATGAAATATTATTGCCTTATAACAGGCTTATAGTAAGTGTATAATATTCAAATACTTTACGGAGTAAAACAACCCACAATAAAATGCCGATCAAACGCCAACAATTTTCATTCGCATGATGTTAAAAGGCCGGAGGTTTGGTGGAAAATCTCCTATTTTTTTATAATTATCTATTGCAAAGCATTTGATTTGGTTTTTTGTTTTGCTTTGTCTTTTTTTTGTTTCAGACAGATTACTCTTTGATTTTGTATTATAAAGCTAAATCACAGTTTATTTCCTCTTGTTGCAGCTTGTACCTCTGGCGAATACCTTAATGGATTTAGTGGATTCTTTTCAACTCCAAATTTTCCAAATAACTATCCTCAGTACAGCAGATGTACCTGGAATATCACAGTTCCCAGAGGGTACATAATTAAACTCAGCTTCCTCTACTTTCAAATGGAGCCATATCAGTACAGTCCCTGCTATTATGATGCTCCAGGAGCCCGTGTTACAGTCACAAATGTTGCTTCAGATGATGGGTATCAATCGTTCATGCTGTGCGGTCAACAACTTCCAGATCCAGTGTACTCTGTGGGGAATTCCGTTCAAGTCATATTTACGTCGCTGAGCAGTCAATACTCAGGGTTTAATGCAACTTACTCGGCTATCACTTATAGTTCAGGTACGTGGTGTACATTAATTATAAAAACGAAAACAATGACTTTTTATGAAGTTAGATCGATCTCACACTATCAGACAATGTCGGTACTTAACAGGCGACCAAAAGAATCGACTCCGAAATTATTGACGTATTACTCCTTGAAAATGTAAAAGAGCAAAAGAGGAACACGATTGGATCGGTAAAACTAAACAAAGTATTGCATTCAGGTATATTTAAAGAACACGTGTATTTCAAGTTTTTCGTCTTTACATTATACGCAAGTCTGATACTCTCGAGAATCATCAGCTGCTACGTGGAGATGACAATTTTGTCCACCTAAGAGGTCTCTTTTAAGGCTCAGAGTCAACAAAGAAAGATCAAATTATCGAAAATACCGTGGCTTAAAGCCTTAAAATAACCAAGATATACGGGATAACATAAACTCGCGCTGGATAAGTATTGTAGCTAGTACTTTTTAATTAAGATATGGATATTTCTTGGTGGTGCAGCGGAGTATGGTTAGAATGCTATGATTAGAACGCTAACAATGAGATTTCTCAAAATTGATTTTGAATTTGCATATTTTGTTCTTTTTTTCTTATTCATTTGAAACCAATCGATAAATATGTTCATACACCACCGTAGCTCCCTCGAAAACTATACCCGATTCCAGACTAAAATGGGCAAAGTCTATAACCGTTTTTAGACAAAAACGGCGCAAAATCCATACCTATTTCTTCCTACAACTGAGATAATCTGTACCTAGAATGATTTGAATCATCACACGCCGTTTCCCCATTTTCCCTCAGTTCTTCAATCTGTCTCGCTAACTTTGCTTTACATAGTGAAGAGCCTCTCTGGGTCATTGTCATATATTTTTAGATTTTTATTGCTTGCAGGTTCTTAACCCTGAGAAGAAAATTTTGTATGAAATCTTGTAGTTGAGAATAAACAGCATTAACAGCTGATCGATCGCGTAAAACCTGATGATGTACACCTATACCTTTCCAACAGTTCCTTCTTATTACCATTTCGATTTACATGGCGGCATTTTAACCAAAACTTTAGTTGAGCAACGGTCAGTTTTTCCATATCTCTTCTTTACTGAAGCCAGCAAGAGGAATGTTCCCTCAAGTAAGTCCCCCATGTTAGTTATTAAGTACCTTACGCTCCGGTGACGCGATGACAACGAGGACGTCGTCAAAAAAAGGAATAGGTTTACAAGGCAAAACAACAACTTTGTACGTGCATCACAGTTTTTTCTACATTTCTTTTTATTGAGGCCGTAAACAAGCGACGACCAAAATTTATTTCTTTTTCTGAACTTGGAAAGGGATCCTAGCAATTCAACTCCAGGGGATTCGCTTACCTTTGATAAAGAAAATGGGTAAGAATAATCGCAATAAAGGCTGAAAGAACTTAAATTCACTTTTTAAGTGATGTTTTTGCTGCCATCGCCTCGTCGGATAGTAAAGTCCCTATTTTAAATTAAAGATCTCACATCCATTCAACTTCCGGTTTTTTTTTCTGAAATCCGAGTATTAAAGAATTTCTTTGAGGCGCTTTCCATTCAACCCAAAATTTTGAAATTTTCGGTTGGTACATCAAATGGAACGGACTGTTTTGATTTGGTCTGACCGGAACATTCGGGACCAGCTTTGAAGGTGGTCCTCTTTCACCGGTCTGGTTATTTCGGTCGTTAGGACCGAAATGTCCCTTTCTATTTGACAAAATTGTTCCCAGTACTGCTCCCTTGTATCCTGGTTACAAGAACAATAACAAACGCGCGGTGGCTTGGGTCGGGTATATGCAACCGGAATGTACCGATCCATTCGACTTGTATATTTCCGAAATTTCAAATCGGAATTTTTGTTGAAAGGAAAGCACCCTTGGTGTTTTGGGCTCCATTTTCGCGGGAGAAAGCTCCCTTGCAAGAGCCAAACATGTACGGTGAACGGTCGAGTTTGGAGGTAAACGTCTTCGTATAAGAAGATTACGACAGCAACGCGATAGATGCTGGCCTCTTGTTGGGCATAAAATTATTGTTTTGTGCCAAATCACAGACAAGCCTTCGAATAAATCGTGGAACTGGTTCGTTAAGAGTAGCATTCCAGAGGCTCTCTCGCCCGTTCTTGAAAACTTTTGCCGCCGTTTTTCCTGACTCAACTGACTGACACTGGGTCTCCGATGATGTTTCTACCAAAGTAATAAAAATAATCTTTACAAGTGCCCACGAACATATTTCTCATAGTTCATGTTGAGTTGTTTGTGAATTTTCCTAATGCAGCTGTTGTTCACATGGGCTTTCATAACAAATAAAGACAACCTGAACGACAGAGCAAATCTTCGTGTTAAAGTAAGCGCAGGCGCCTAATACCCACTAAAATGTTCGTTTGAGTTATGGAACGGACTCCATACACAAACCAGAAAAAGCTTCAGGCGCATCCCTAAATTATTAAATCCTTCCGTCCCGCATTTGGTTTTGATCTAATTTCTTCTCACGTTAACTAGATTCTTTCTTGAAAGTGGTATAATTCTAATTGTCTTCGATACTTACGGTCGGTCCATTTATATTGCTTGCAGTCTGTCCCAATATGGCAACCCTGAAGGAGACATCAGGAGTTCTTACCAGTCCTTATTATCCAATGCGTTACCCTTCTAACGAGAATTGCAGCTGGAAAATTACAGCAAGTGAAGGGGAACGCATTGTGTTGGTCGTTGAAGACCTTTATATTCAGAACTGTGGTTCATCTTGCTCGTGTGATTACCTTGAAATACAAAATGGCTCTTCCTCTGATGGTGTTTCAGGCAGGCGAAGATGTAGATCAGATAAAGACCGTGGGATAGTATACCATTCAGCAAAAGATGTCCTGAGGTTGACGTTTGTTTCTGATAGTAGTACTTGCTCGTGGTGTCGTGGATTTAAGGCAACTTACATTAAAGTGAAATATAATGCAACAACGACCGGTAAGTTATTTAGAAATCGGCTTTAAACGATAAGTTAAGGGTTTATGTGCAGGCGATCAGGTGATCAACTTTCAACCAAGTTATATGAAATATTATTGCCTTATAACAGGCTTATAGTAACTGTAATATTCAAATACTTTACTGAGGAAAACAATTCAACCCACACTAAAATGCCGATCAAATGCCAACAATTTTCATTCGCACGGTGTTAAAAGTGTTTGGTGGAAAATCTCCTATTTTTTTATAATTATCTATTGCAAAGCTTTCGATTTGGTTTTTTGTTTTGCTTCGTGGTTTTTTTTGTTTCAGACAAATTACTCTTTGATTTTGTATTATAAAGCTAAATCATAGCTTATTTCCTCTTGTTGCAGCTTGTACGTCTGGCGAATACCTTAATGGATTTAGTGGATTCTTTTCAACTCCAAATTTTCCGAATAACTATCCTCAATACAGCATGTGTACCTGGAATATCACAGTTCCCAGCGGGTACATAATTAAACTCAGCTTCCTCTACTTTCGATTGGAGCCATATCAGTACAGTCCCTGCTATTATAATGCTCCAGGAGCCCGTGTTACATTCACAAATGTTACTTCAGATGATGGGTATCAACCGTTCATGCTGTGCGGTCAACAACATCCAGATCCAGTGTACTCAGTGGAGAATTCCGTTCAAGTCATATTTACGTCTCTGAGCAGTCAATACTCAGGGTTTAATGCAACTTACACGGCTATCACTTATAGTTCAGGTACGTGGTATGCATTATAAAAACAAAAACAATTACTTTTTATGAAGTTAGATCGATCTCACACTATCAGACAATGTCGGTACTTAACAGGCGACCAAAAGAATCGACTCCGAAATTATTGACGTATTACTCCTTGAAAATGTAAAAGAGCAAAAGAGGAACACGATTGGATCGGTAAAACTGAACAAAGTATTGCATTCAGGTATATTTAAAGAACACGTGTATTTCAAGTTTGTCGTCTTTACATTGTACGCAAGTCTGATGCTCTCGAGAATCATCAGCTGCTACGTGGAGATGACAATTTTGTCCGCCTAAGAGGTCTCTTTTAAGGCTCAAAGTCAACAAAGAAAGATCAAATTATCGAAAATACCGTGGCTTAAAGCCTTAAAATAACCAAGATATACGGGATAACATAAACTCGTGCTGGAGAAGTATTGTAGTACTATTTAACATATCGATTTTTCTTGGTGGGGCAGTTGAGTATGGTTAGAATAGTATGATTAGAACGCCAACAATGAGATTTCTCAAAATTGATTTTGAATTTGCATATTTTGGTTTTTTTTCTTATTCATTTGGAACCAATCGATAAATATGTTCATACACTCCCGTAGTTCCCTCGAAAACTGTACCCGATTCCAGACCAAAATGGACAAAGTCTATAACCGTTTTTAGACAAAAACGGCGCAAAAACCGTACCAATTTCTTTCTACAACTGAGATAATCTGTATCTAGAATGATTTGAATCATCACACGCCGTTTCCCCATTTTCCCTCAGTTCTTCAATCTGTCTCGCTAACTTTGCTTTACATAGTGAAGAGCCTCTCGCTGGGTACACCTACCTTTCCAACAGTTCCTTCTTATGACCATTTTGATTGATACGGCGGCATTTTAGCCAAAACTTTAGTTGAGCAACGGTCAATTTTTTTTATATCTCTTCTTCACTGAAGCCAGCAAGAGGAATGTTCCCTCAAGTAAGTCCGCCATGTTAGTTATTAGGTACTTTACGCTCCGATGACGCGATGACAACGAGGACGTCGTCAAAAAAGCAATAGGTTTACAAGGCAAAACAACAACTTTGCAGGTGCATCACACTTTTTCCTTTATTTCTTTTTATTGCATGAGGACGTAAACAAGCGAGGACCAAAATTTATTTCTTTTTCTGAACTTGGAAAGGGATCCTAGCAATTCAACTCCAGCGGTTTCACTTACTTTTGAAAAAGAAAATGGTTAGGAATAATCGCAATAAAGGCTGAAAGAACTTAAATTCACTTTTTAAGTGACGTTTTTCCTGCCATCGCCTCATCGGATCGTTAAGTCCCTATTTTAAATTTAAAAGTCTCACATCCATACAACTTTCGGTTTTTCTTTTCTGAAATCCGAGTATTAAAGAATTTCTTTGAGGCGCTTTCCATTCGAACCAAAGTTCCGAAATTTTCGGTTGGTACATCAAATGGAACGTACCAGTTTGCTTTGGTCTGAGCGGAACATTCCGGACCAGCTTTGTAGGAACTCCGCTTCAAAACGCACTGCGCATGAGCACAAAATTTAACATCCGGTCAGCTTTTTATTTCCGGTGTAGTGTATAGACCAAATGCGTAAGCATAACTTTGCCGTCGCGCCAAGTTTAAAAGCAAAAAGGGGGCGAAAAAAATCACTTCATTCGATAGCTTACATATTTTTCTTGTATCAAACTTTTGCACCACATGGTTATCTGGTTGCATCAACGGTGAAAAGGTCAGCACTCGTTAACATCCGTCGAAAGGCCCTCTTATCTTCGGTCGGATTTCGTAAACGTATGCTGATTCATCTGCACTTCGATCGTCTATATCCGAGATTTCATCCCACTTTTTCGATCATTCCTCGATTGATTCCAATCAATTCAAACAAGAAGATGCCACTGCCTCCGTTTAAAGGATGTTTTGATGTTTCAAGCCTCTTCTTACTCCGCGGGGAAAAGGAACTTTCAGTGGATGTTACTGAATAACATGCTTGGAATGGCCCTAGATCACCAGGCTGTGTATCTAGGTGACAATTATAGCGGAGCTCCGCGCGAAGCGCGCCTGCGGAGCACCATGGGTAAATAAATCTACCCATCCCAGAAAATTTGGTAATCACGTGACCGACCGACCGAGCGACCGACCGACCGTCCGTCCGAACAAAGGCACATCAGTGTTTACTCTCACACTTTCTAGCTGCTTTGGGAGCCCAGGAGAAAGCTGATTGCACATCAATGTTGTGATCAATTTACAGCTGTCAAAACAGGGTATCCGCTGACCAGTATCACCTGGCCGTATCGCGGGCTCAGGTGTCGATCCATCGAGGTCCAGTATTTTTTGAAGTTATCCGCTGACAATTTACTCGTTTTCAAATGATCGCAGGCTCACGTTTACTTTTTTTAAAATTCATATGTAATATCATTGTGTTTATGTCAGTATCGCACCGCACTATTACGATTTCAAACTGACCTGAGACGCAAAAATTCAGCCAGTTTTTTTTATTTTAAAATACAGGAGGGGAAGACCTTTTCTTACCATGGTCACGGTTGGTCACGCTCCACGTCCAATTTTTATGCTCTGATTGGTTAAAATTTGACAGGTGAGTTCATGCGTAAAATTTATGCAGCATCTTGAAAGTTGTTTGCTTTGACAGCTGAAGCTGACAGAGGTTTGAGTCAACTTGTGATGTTTTTAACTGTTTTTTTTTCCACTGGATGTACAAAATGAAATACAGCTGCTATCAAGAGTGTTCTCTTGTTCATGGCTGGTTTGTTTATTGGGTTTTTGGTTGAGAAGTGCGTCGCTTGTCAAAGCCGATAATCCGATTTCGGATGGCATCGTTTTTGTTTTTCACCTTGCTGGATGCGTACGAGAATTATAAAGGCTCAAGCGATCCTTGCCTCACTTGATAGCTTTCAGGAGCTGCATCTCGAAATATGGTAAGCTTAAGTAATTATTGTATTGAAATATAACTTCATGAAGTCCAGCGGCGCAGTTTATGAAGCTAGTTTATGCACGTTTGTATTAAGATTTGACTGAGACACCGATCTGACCTAGTATGAGGTTTGATATAAGCTTAAGCTTACAGAACTTTAAAAAGCCTTTAGTCGATATTAAATCACCGTAAATAGAAAGAAAAAACTTTCCGAAGAATATTTAGTTATAATTTTGGCTGTAGAAAGAAACGTTTGAGCGATTTTCTTGTCGTGAGTCATCTTTGAAAACAGCAAACACCGGGAAACCGGCGGCTTAAAACATAAACTTAATCTTTAAGCTTACTAGTAAAGACTTGAGGATTCTTAGAGACACTTAAATACTCATTTGTTTTCGTGAATGAAAATTGTTGTCTCTGTAAATGTTCTACCGAATGATATTTCTTTATTGATTGTTGGTAGTCTCAAAAGTGTGATTTTCATCTCTTTGCCGTTTGTTTTCAGCCGTTCATAAACATCCGCTTGCAGGAGTACTCAAAATGCCAAGCGTCTCAAACGCTTTTTGAGATTACACATCGTTTCTTTATCACGTTGAAGGGTAACTCTTTTAAAATTTCTTCGCAAATTTGGCGCTTGTCAAAAGTTAGAACCGGATGGCCGTAGAGGTGATTTTGGAAATTTTTTGAACGGTTTCACTAATTAAAAGTCCACGCGTACTTCGATGGCCCTGAATATTGAATCAACTCAATTTGTCTTGAAAGATTGTGAAATACTGCATTTTGTACGAGGTCTGTATGATAAAAACAGCGCCTCATAGTACTCTTTCTCCTCAGATGTGGTCTATAAAAAATAATAAAAGATTGGTTTGCACGCACCCAGATTTATTGGCAAGAATTTGTAAACTTGTCGAACGAAAAAATTCGGTCTGATTTGTTTTCCAAGAATTTGTTTTCCACGCCTTATCTACTGTGATCAAGAGCCATTATTGCTCTTAAATGTGACCGAAGACTATTTTTTGGGTGTACATATAGGGCTATATCAACTCGATACAAGATTTGCTTCACTCCAAAATCACTTAGCTTTTCCCTCAAAAGTCACATGAATGTGCCCTTAAGTTAACTGATTTGTGGAATATAAAATTATTGTTTGATTAAGTTATAAAAATATCAATGGGAGCTTCGCTTTTAGCTGTGGCTAAATCTCTATATTACATTATCACTTTCCTTATTGAATACATGTACATATAAAGTGTAAAAATCGCTATACTTATATTTCACACTTGAGGAGAAGGATAAATATTGTTATTTATTATCCCACTATTATGTTATTTACCATATAAGGTCAAGAGAATGCGCAAAATATGAGGCGGTAATAATGATATTATTTGATAATATTTCTGTCTGATTTGGTTAAAATGACTGGTCACTAGGTTTTCACCTGGCACAGGGCACAGTGTACCTTAAAGCCTCTTCTGCTGTGATTGTTCCCTCAACTTCTTTTACAGTAAAGGCATGTCATTCTTGCAAAAAAGAAAATGCTCTGTCATTTGATCAAGTAGAGCAGATGCTATTTAATTTTATGAAGCAAAAACAAACATGGAAAAGTAATTATACAAAAGTAAGATTGTTTTTCCTTGTTTGATCATCATTAAACTTCCCTTCAGTTTTCTTGTGCATTATTGGCTGTGTGATTTGACTGGTGGGTCGATTTCTGATGCACTCTCGATCCTCCTTTCTTCCTCTATATGTTAATTTGTTTTCTTATTTAGTAACAAAGTGTTGAACAAATTACTCAGGAATTATGCTGGTTGTGAAAGGCATCTGTTCAACCGAAGTGCCCCATACAGTGGTGGATCCAGACCTTCAGATAAGGGGGGGGGAGGGGGGAGGGGGGGGACGGTCATCCAGACCCTTAGATAAGGGGGGGCGGGGCGGTCTCCAAAAAGATTTTTTTCGGCCCTTCGGGCCTGAGTTTGGTCTAAAATAAAGGAGGGGCCCGAGCCCCCCCGGCCACCTCCCCTAGATCCACCACTGCCATAGAGAGAGGAGTAATTGCTATAGCTATGATCTGTCATGTGGGCAACTATTCTGCAAAGAATTTTAGGTCTGATTTGACCGATCTATATGGATTTTTGTTAACAAGAAAAGATGTCTTTACTTACAATAGTTTCGATTAATCAAGATTTTTAACATAGAAATTAACCCATTCGCCCCTGAACCGCCCTTAACCGCCCGTGCGGATCCAGGTCCTTTCTACCCTTTGTGACGTCATCAGTTTTAACGGTCAAGGACAACTTTCTTCGCTAACTTGTGCAGAGTGAAGAGATCTTTCAAACCATACCAGAATGAGCACAATCTAGTCAAGGACACCGGAGAAAGAAGCAAAAAACCACGTGACAAGGACCTGAAAATCTCCATGAAAATCTTGTTCCATTACCTACCTACCTTTCCCTTCACCTAATCCTAAGATCCTAAAAGCTTTCCCAAAAACTCTTCCCACCAAAATGAAGCCTACTAAATGCCCAGCAAGAGAAAAAAAAAATGAGGCAAGAAAAGCGAAAAAAGAAGGGAGGAGAGAAAGCGAAAAGTAAAAGTCAAGACTGCTGTATCACTTTTAAACCCAAAAACTGTCGAAATTTTGCTTTCTGCGCATGCCCGAACTTCGCAAGCTCATATTTTGCATCTGGATCAGAAGGCCGCCAAGTGTACGACCTGTAAACCGGTTTGTGGTAAGTTTTAGCTCTTTATAGCAAGACAGTGACCAGAAAACCACTCGACTAGCTTCAAAACGCGTTTTTCGGCAAAATCTCCAGGAGCGAATGGGTTAATTGCTGTGAAGCCAGATTAGTGTTTGTTAGTAAGAGGTGCATCTAAGCTTATAGGAGGTGTCGATTGACGGAGGTTCTGTACAGTACCTGATGGAAATTGGGATTTTTTCCCCTGCTCAAGTTCTGTACAAACTAAATGTCATACATGCTAATGCTTCCAACAGTAGTTTAAGAACATGAGTGATGTTCAGAATACTGAAAGTTTAAAAATATTTCTTTGTCTAACAATGTAAATTATAATAATTATAATCATTACTATTACATTATTATTGTATCAATTACAGTGAAACCTGTATTAAGCAGGCACCTTCGGGACCTTCCCAAGTGTCTGCTTAATAGAGGGTGTCCGCTTAATAGAGTTTTAAAAATTGCACAATGTTTGTTAACGATCAACATTTAACGGTTACTCTGTACTGTGAAAAAGTTGCATGTTGTTAAAAAAGCTATCGAGAGTTCAAGTTCGTTACCTTTCATTACCAACTTCCATTTGTTTGTAAATGCAAAAACATTAACTGACTTCAGTACGTATTTCAAGAACGTAATCCAATACTACTATTGTCAATTCAGTCCAGCGTCTGCTTACTAGAGGTTTTTAACAATAGAAATTAGCTAAATACAACTTATTTAGAGGTGTCCGCTGAATAGGGGTTTGTTATAAAGGGAAATATCAGACCTCCGTTTCGGGACCCGGTTTAATGTCCGCTTAATTGGAGGTTTGCTTAATAGAGGTTCCACTGTAAAATATTATAGTCATTGCTATTACAAATTGTGGCAATACTATGCAAAATATGCTTACCATGCAGACAAACTCAGCCACAGTCATAGCTGTTTGCTTGAAAGGGAATTGTCTTTAATGTAAATAGCAGGGCGGCGGGCTTGCCCCCACCCCCCTTCCCTACTACCACCGCAGCCATGTTTCTCAACCCAAAATTGGTCAAGTGCAAATGTTAAGATTTTATTGAACACCAGTTGTAGCATCCAGGGCGCACGTTTTCTACCCTCCGACGACTCAACAAGCACCATGAAGCAGGATTGTTTTAGCCTTTGTTTGAACAACTGCCTACTGATGCATACCAGGCCAACTGTCCATTGCGGATTCTATGGACACTGTTAAGATCTCAAAGAGGTTTGCTTGTGCCAACGAACTAAGCAAATGACATTTTGGGAAATTGGAGTAGGGCTATGATCAACGGCCCACTTTGTATATAACACTGGCGGATCTAGGGGAGGAGCCTGGGAGGCCCGGGCCTCCCTCTCATTTTTAGACCAAACTGAGGCCGCGCCCGAAGGGCCGAAAACAATTTTTTGGAGACCGGGCCACCCCCCTCCCCCCTTATCTCAGGGTCTGGATGACCGGGTGCCCCCCCTATCTTTCACTGTATAATTATATACAGCCTTTGCTTGCTTTGTAGTCCTTGTAGAGGGAACTTGCGAGTATTGCGAGTCTCAAAATCTTCGATTAGCTTTGTGCTTCTTCAGCGGATGAAACAGAATATAAATCATCACACATCTTAGTGCAAGAATAGCTTTCTGTTGTTTAATACTGGTATACTTAGCTTTCTTTTGCTGTCTTGAGTTTCTTTTTCTACTTGTTTTTTTTGTGTGTGAATGCTTTGTGTAGCTGTGTGTGGTGTGCAGTACCTGACCTTTAATATAATCATTTATTAATAACCTAAGTGAGGCTGCCCTTTCTTTTTAGTCCTCAATGGTTATTATGGGCAGCCTGTACTCTCTCTATATATTTAGGGACTTGTCAGAAATTAGAAGGGGGGGAGGAGGTGGAAACAGAGGAAGGGTCACAACTTTTTGAGACTCAGAAAAGGGAGTGGTCATGAAAAATGGGCCGTTCAAAGGGGGAGGGTCATGCAAATATAGCCCGTGATCATGTAGAGGTTCACCTGCAGAATAAAAAGGAAGTTCTTTATTTGGTAAAAAAAAAAGAGACAAATAATAATAAAGAACAACAGAACATTATGGATATAAACTGTGAAGTACTATTGCAAGAATTTAACAAACATCTACTTTTCATTTAATACAGGGCAATGTTATAGAGTCTTATTGCATTTTTATTATGAATAATGTTGTTATTAATGTTATTAGAGTTTTGGCTATCCTATTCATCACTGTCTTCAGCGTCACCATCAATGCTACTGTGAGCATCTTGATCATCATAATTTATGTCATCAGCATTGATACAATCACTTTCATCATCATCATGATTTTCATTTAAGTTGAAGCTTGGATATTGCTGGATAATTTCCTGTTATTCATTGGTGAACAGCCCTTCTCAAAGATGTATTGGGTATATGGCCTTTGTGTTTTGAGGAGCCCACTTATTCCTTCATAATGAAGAGATAATGGGCCAATAGGCTCTGTAACATTATGCCACTCTTGCTGAGGTGCAATGGTTTCAATAACTTTTTTGCAGTTAGCCTCCATTCTTTTTGCCCTAGCTTTTTTTTGCCTTCCTTTTATTTTGTTTTTGTTTCCTTTTTTCTTGTTGGCTTGGAATACTGCACCTTAAAGAGCCTGGAACATTTTTCTTTCAATTCTGTAAGGTGGGGAGGGTCATGATATGTTAGGCCAAGCATAAGGGGAGGGTTAGCAAATTTCACTCCCATTGAAGGGATGGGTCACCTAATTTCCAAACCCAAATTTAAAATTTCCACCCCCCCTTCCCCCCTGCTAATTTCTGACAAGTCCCTTATCTAATTTTTTTGTATCATGTAAATCATGTAGGGTACAGCTGGGTGTAAATAAAGTTGTTGTTGTTGGGTCTTGTTGTTGTTGCTGCTGCAAGCATTCATTATTATTCGACAGAGACAGACATTACACACATGGATGATTTTCTATTTTTTATATTCCCGCCAACATTTGAAAAAGTTGTTAAATGGGGCTGCCGTTCATTTGAGTTTTATTTGCTTGTTCGTGTAATTTCTTCATGAATGCCATTCGATCCGGGGACATTCAAGGGATGTTACTCAATAACATCCGCTGAAAGGACCTTATTGATGCGCTAAGAGGCTTGATCAAGGCGAAACATTAAAACAGCCTTTCCAAACAGATGCAGTGGCATCTTCTTGGTTCAATCAATCGAGACATGATCGAAACAGCAAGACAAGACCTCGAAACAAACATCAAATCATCAGACAGATCAGAGTGGACGATCGAAGCGAAGCTTTCATGAGTCACAGGGGAAGCCACGAGGCAAACATGACGTCATACGTTTACGAAATCCGACCGAAAGATAACGAGTGCTGACCCGGTGAAAATGATGTTTGAAGTTTGTACGTCGCTAGCGCTCGACATGACGAATCCGTTTTTACTGCGTTTCTTGCATGCTTGTGGTTTGGAATAAGTTAATTTCGCGGAGAAGGCGATAACTAAGAAAAGAATAGCAAAACTTATGAAAGAAACCAAAAAAAGACGTCATTATTATCATTAACACTATAACCAGGAAATAAAAGTTTAGTCCGTTCAATCAGAGAAAAGAAGAACTCAAAACAAAAGATGGGCGGGATTTAATAACAACCTCGACTTTGATGACTGCCGTCACGAATACCCGCCGCTTTCGGTCTATTGAATGATCTTGGCCGGGAAACTAAACGTGCTAAAAAACGTACTTTCAATCAAGAAAATGCTTATTTAATTTCTTATTAATTCTTTTACTTCGTTGTTCTTTGGTTGAAGACTTCAATAATTTCAGACTGTGGGGCTCGGCTGCATCTTCTGCGAACACGAAACTTCCAACTGCTAAATAAATGGCATGAAAATTTCGACTTCTAAAAGCCATCAAACCAGCTTTCGCTCTCTGATTCTGAGAATGAAATTGTACTAGCATCAGGTCAGCGGTTATATTTAGCGCATGCCTACTGGAATAAAGTGTGTTCATTTGCATCCACCATCTTGAGCGTATGCTGTGTCTTCTCGGAGAACACTTTATGGTGTCACTTCCTGGAACACCTTAAACCGCCTGAAGCTCTGATATTGTCTACAGCCACGAATAAAGCCGAAGTATGGCGGCGTTGGAAAATGTCATGGGACCTGTACAAAGTTGCGAGCGGACTCGATCAAAAGGATTAGAAGATTCAAGTCGCTACGTTGCTCCACGTGCTTGGCAAGGAATGTGTGAAAATTTTTTCAAATTTTGTGTGGGATTCCGAGGATGATCGGGTTAAAATTGAGGCCGTCGGGGGAAAGTTCAAAGCTCATTGTGCACCACTGACCTCGAGGTACTTCAATCGTTATTTGTTTATCGAACGGAAACAGCAAGACGGAGAGACAGTCGATGAATTCTGTAGCGCATTGAAAACACTAGCTAAGAACGGTGACCTCGGTGATTAAGAAGAATCTTGGATTACATCCATGTTAGTGCTGGGGCTTAAGGATCCGTTTTCCAAAGAAAGGTTGATGGAGAGAGAACAGAGTTTAGAGAAAACATTGCAAGCAGCTCGCATCGCCGAAACAACCAAGCAGCACATGAAGAGCATAAAAGAAGAGGGTAGCAAAGTTGAGAAAGTGGATGTAGTGGACGCCAAAGAACAGAAGCCTCAATGGGGAATGCTCTGTAGGAGTTGTGGTATTCGACATGCCCGAGATTAATGTCCTGGGCCCGGTTGCATAAAACGCCCTTAACAGTTACGGGTATACGTACGTGTACTCGTAACTTAAGTGAGTTGCATTAAATCACTTACGTGGTCCACTTAGGGATTTCACTTAAGTGACTGCACTTACGATTTTCGTAAGTATCCACTTAAGTGTCATTTATGCAACAGAAATTGCGGGTGTTGCATAAAACTTTTTTTACGGGAAAAATGGCACGTAAATTTACGGGACCTATGTAGGTCCCGTATCCTTACTGTTTAAAAAAAAAAAAAAAAAACACTTTATTCACATTTCCACTACAGGGTTTGTCAAACTTATTGAATAATTAGTAACTTAACACGTAGAATATTCAATTACAATTTAAACTAAATATTATTACATAGAAGGAAATGCCTAGCGGCTAGATAACCGCAAGGTTTTCGAGCTAGCAACTAGTTCTTTGAAAGTAGTGTCAAATGTACAGGACATCACAATAACTAGACATACAAAACATCTTAAGACATACACACACCATAAAAAAAAGAAGAAAGCACATAGATGGCAAAAAAAGAAGAGAAAACAGTCATCATAGTACATGACGATATGATTAAAATAAAATAATTTCAGTAAGTTAATTGTTTGGCCAACAAGTATTCTTTTAATGTTTTAGGAAAGTTATAAGTTGAAAGGTCTTTTATATGGGTAGGGAGCTGTTGCCACAATTCGGTCGCCATAGCCGCTGTTGTTTGCTTTCCTATATTGGTCCTGGAACGTGGTTTGTAGAAGTTACTTTTTGAAGCATATCTCGTATTATATGTATGGACTTCACTTGCATAGCGAAAATGCTGATTAAAGATATATGGTAATTTTTTAGAATGTCACTGATGAGTGAAGTTAAGAAGCTGTAGTTTATAGATATTTGTAACAGTAAGTAAATCCAATAAATTAAGTAATGGTAATGCACTGTCTGTATCTGGTCCAAACAAGGTGGCAAAGAACATAAGGCGGATAACATGATTTTGTTTTGTTTGGATTTTTTTAATTTGAGTAGTAAATGCACTGCCCCAGGAGGTTATCGCATAAGATATATAAGGATAGATCAGGTTATAGTATAGTTGTTTAAGTTGTAAAAGGGAGGTGCAGTGTCTGAGTTTGCCTGATCGTTTTTGTCAGGGCTTTCAAGAACGTTATCAAATAAATCTCTTTCTTCAAGCGTAAGAACAGTATCGTACACCCATGATCCCACAGCTTTCGCGAATTCTCGCCTGTCTGTTAAGCCATAAAATGGCAGTTCCGATAAATAATTCACAGTCGTGTCAAGTGGTTATAATTAAATAACTTGAACAGTTACTACTAAAGTTAACGAGATCTTTCACTGAGAAGTGAAAAAAAGTTTTTTATTTAAGTAATTCCGTTCTAACGCGGTTTGTTAACCTCTGATGCTCACTTTATTTAAAGCCGTCTTTCAGAAAAAAAGTAGAACATGCAACAAACATTATCAGTAAATATTCTTGTAAAATAACGATGGCATGGAAACGTATTTCAACGAAAGTTAACGGACTTGATGAGTTGCACTCATAGGATATTAAAATGTCAATCTTCTTTGCTGAATGATCTGAAAATATTCAAAAACTGTCATCAGCTTCAATAGATTATAAGGATTGTGAAAAAAGAAAAAACGAACAAATTCCTAACGTTTTTTTCGACCCTCTTCAGTTTCATTAATGTCGTCTTGGTACGCTTCATCAGCATTGCTGCTGTCGCCCGTAGCTTCTTCTTCATCATCGTTTAGAAAAACATTTCTACATTTCTAGGATGTCAATGAAACGGAATTCTGAAGATGAACAAGGCTCTAACCCCAGAAAAAGAGCGCCGAATTTTAAGACGGATAAAATCATAATTTTTTTTCGCCGTGAGGTAAAAAGGAGAAAGATTACTCCATTCGGTACTTTATCTCCTACACTGACATTTATATTGAAAATGCAAACATGGTTGAAGGTTCACACAGCTAGTATAGCCGCCGGGTTCCCACCAAGAACCAAGGAACACCTTAAAAAGAAATGGGAGGACTTGTCGTCAGCCACTAAAGCCAAATACGCCAAACGAAAGAAGACTGGGGTGCAGGTGCAATAGAGTGGACTGATGGTGACCAGCTAATCACCGAGATACTCGGAAAAGAAAATCCCTACCCCGTATCTATGGTTGGTGGAATAGACTGTGGGGATAATATCCAAGCCAGAGAACACACCCTTGATGCTTCAAGTGGCGCCATTGAGAAATAAAGCCTATCGTCAACTTCATCTTACCTTCCAGTAGGCCCAGATAGGGTGGTTGAATTAGAAAGTGGCTAGAGAACTTCGGAGAAGGAGTACGAAGAAAGCCTTTTAAGGGAAGAAGAAACAAAATAACCAAACTGTACCTGATTCCGACTCTGTTAGGGAACAAGGACATAGAGAAAGGAACATTAAGAAGATATATGAAGAGCATTTAAAAGAAGAGCATGATGTCAAAATGAGAATTCTAAAAAAGAAGGAACAGCGGCTTGATCTTGAGTTGAAGTTGTTTAGACGAAAACTTAACATTAACAAGTAGTTTAGAACCTGTGCAGATATTACATTAATAAACTATTTTTTATTATGTCGAAAGCTCTCGGTCGAATAATTTTTTTTTGGTTAAATGATGACACACTTTTTTCTGTCTATATAAAACGTTATCTCATCTGGCTGAATTTATCATCTAATTTCTTTACACCCATCGATGGTTAGCTTAAAAAAAAAAATAGAGTGGGTCACTAATAAAGTACTATATCAAAGTTACCTGTGCCCTTAAGTGAGCCCGTAAGTTACCAAGTAAAAAAGCAACTTACCAGAGTGCTAAGTGCGTTCCATGCAACACCCGTAAGTGTCCCCATAACGGATTCGTAAGTGACCTACTTAAGTGAGCACTTAAGTGCAGGTTTTATGCAACCGGGCCCTGCTGCTGAGCGACGCTGCCACAAGTGCCAAAAAATGAACCATTTTTCAAGGATGTGTCTTACCCCAGATGGACAAAAGAAGCAGGTAAACACTGTTGATGATTGTGACTCTGACTCTGAAGTTATTTTCATTGGAGCAGTCAATGCAGGAGACAAAGACTGGGTTGAAACTGTCAATTTTGGAACTGTTCAAGAAGTCTTTAAACTAGATACTGGGGCCCAGTGCAATGTCTTGACCAAAGCCGCATATGACAAAATTACAACAAACCCTTCGCAACCTTCCTCGGCAAGATTAGAAAGTTACTCCAAAACTTGTATTAGACCTGTTAGAAAGTGTGAGTTGCCTTGTTGGGTGCGTGGGGAAAGGTATCAAGTATGTTTTCAAGTGGTTGATGGAGATTACATGCCCCTGCTGGGTAGATCATCCTGTGAGAGTATGGGCCTAATCCAGCGCATAAATGCTATTGAAAGTGTCAGTATCCTTGATGAGTTCCCTGAAGTATTCCAAGGACTTGGGTGCCTCCCAGAGAAATATCACATTAGTGTTAACGCCTCTGTTCCTCCTGTGGTCCACCCACCCAGACGAGTTCCTCACTCCAAGCGAGTCCCACTGAAGAAAGAGTTTGATCGGATGGAGAATGTTGGCATCGTAGAGAAAGTTCCCTTGAATGAACCTGCCGATTGGGTAAGCAGCCTTGTTTGTGTTGATAAACCGGATGGGTCTATTCGTGTATGCTTAGATCCTAAAGATCTTAATGTTGCCATTAAAAGAGAACACTACCCTTTGCCAGTGGTAAGTGACATCACAACTAGTTGTTCAGGAGCCACACTATTTTCAACTTTGGATGCAGAAAAAGCATTCTACCTGATCCAGTTAGACGAGGAGAGTAGCAAGCTCCTGACATTTAATACCCCTTCGGGAGGTATAGATACCTGAGGATGCCGATGGGGATTAAGTCTGCTCCTGAAGTTTACCAACAAAGAATGGAGCAAGTCTTTGAAGGACTGCCGGGTGTGAAAGTCATCATGGATGACATAATCATACATGGTCGAACTGGGCCGGAACATTATACACGGTTGAGGGCTGTTCTGCAGCGTGCCAAAGATAACAATCTCAGATTGAAGAAGTCAAAGTGCCATATACAACAGGAAGAGGTGAAGTTCCATGGCCACTTGTTCTCCCATGACGGTTTGAAGACAGACCCAGAGAAGGTCAGAGCCATAGTTGAAATGCCAAGGCCAACAGACAAATCTGGTGTACAAAGATTGTTGGGGATGATCAACTATGTCAGTAAATTCATCCCCAACATGTCTGACCTTACTGCACCATTAAGACAGTTACTACACCAAGATGTTGAGTGGCACTGGGAAGAACAGCAGGAAGCTAGTTTTAAAGCAATCAAGGAATCGCTTGTCCGTGCCCCTATTTTAGGATATTATGATGCAAAGAAATCCCTGACACTACAAGCTGATGCCAGTTCAACTGGGCTGGGTCCAGCATTGATTCAGGAAGACCGACCAATAGCTTATGCCTCAAAGGCACTTCCGCCCACTCAAGAGAGGTATGCACAAATTGAAAAGGAACTTTTGGCAGTAGTATTTGGCTGTGCCAAATTTGCAGAGTGCATCGTGGGTCGTGATGTCACCGTTGAATCAGATCATAAACCTTTGGAGGCAATTATGAGGAAGCCCTTACACGTAGCACCCTTACGGCTGCAACGGATGTTGGTCCAACTCCAGCGCTTTCCAGGAATCAGTGTGGTATACAAGCGTGGAGACAGCCTACATTTAGCGGATGCTTTGTCTCGAACCCATTTGGAAGAACAGCTGACGAATGCTGAGCAATTGGACATAAACGTAGTAGAGGATGTTATCTCTGACCACCAGTTGGCCCGTTTCGCTGAGGCAACTAAGGAAGATGCGATTTTGTCTGACCTGCAACAAGTTATTTTGTCGGGTTGGCCAGATTCCAAAGGTCAAGTCCCACCCAATGCACAGGAGTTTTGGAATTACGGTGATGAATTAACAGTAGCCCAGGGACTGATCGTTAAGGGACAAAAGATTGTTGTGCCAAGTACCTTGAGAAGAGAGATGCTTGAGAAACTGCATGAGGGACACCTGGGTATCAACAAGACAATAGCGAGAGCACGGGACGTATTGTTCTGGCCCAGGATGAGTGTGGAGAATACCGAGAAGATTAAAAACTGTCCTGTATGTCTAGAAAATCGACCAAGTCAGCAGCCTGAACCATTGAAGTCGCACGAGATTCCACCATTGCCTTGGGGTAAGGTTGGCACAGATATTCTGCATAAGAATGGTCGGAACTACCTCGTTACTGTCGATTATTACTCCAAGTGGCCAGAAATGACTTTACTCCCGTCAATGACAAGCACCGGAGTAATTACAGCTCTTAAATCCCAGTTCGCGAGATATGGAGTCCCTTCAGTTGTCGGTTCTGACAATGGCCCCTGTTACAACTCTGCAGAATTTAGGACGTTTTCAGAAGACTGGGGTTTTGAACACATCACTTCAAGTCCTCGCTACCCACAATCCAATGGCCAGTCAGAGAGAACCGTCAAGACCGTTAAAGCAATGCTGGAGAAAGCTGGTGATCCATAGAAAGCTCTCTATTCTTACAGAAATACACCTCTGGAGGAAGTTAATCTGTCACCATCACAAATGCTAATGGGCAGACGTTTGCGAACTGAGGATTTGTTGAAACCTCAACTCTATGACCCTGAAGATGTCCTCCCTAAGTTAAAAGAAAGGCAGAGAAAGCAGAAGCTGCAGCATGACAGAAAAGCAAAAGAACTGCCCCCTTTGAGGGGTGGTGAGGTTGTAAGAGTTAGAGAAGGCAACAAGTGGAAACCTGCCAGAGTTACACAGGTTCTTCCCTCACCCAGATCTTATAAGGTTGAAACAGAGCGTGGAGAGTACCGAAGAAACCGTCGACATTTATTAAGAACTGAAGAGTCTCAGATCCCAGAAATTACCCCTACACCGGAAGTCTTGAATGATGAGGACCTGACAGACACCGAAGTTGAGCCATCCTCTGTTAGAGTGGCCCACGAGAATCCTGTAACACCGCCAACCGGAATGTCTACGGCTACTACCACGCGGTCTGTTCGGACAATTAGGGAACCGCAGAGATTTAAGGACTATGTTAAGTATTAGATACAAAGCAGACACTTTTCAGCTTTTAATTTAACCTTTCTGTTTTCAGTTTTCAGGAAAGGACACATTGCTCTCGTTGCAGCATTGTCTCGTGTTTCTTTTTTCTGTTTCCTTTTTTTTATTGTTACGGTTTGTTTGTTAAATTCAATAATTTCAGTTTCCTTTGTTTCTTAAAAAAAGGGGGGATGTAGCATCAGGTCAGCGGTTATATTTAGCACATGCCTACTGGAATAAAGTGTGTTCATTTGCATCCGCCATCTTGAGTGTATGTTGTGTCTTCTCGGAGGACACTTCAGAAATATTTAAATAAATAGAGTTTTCAACTTGCTGCCAACCTCAACAGTATAATTAAGCTTAAGGTGTTTCATGGCAATCTACTCAGAAGACCTTCATTAAAAAAAAAAAAACGAACTCACTGGTAAATAAAACTACAAAGCGATTGTGTGTTGTCGTTTTTCAGATAAAGTCAATAAAGCTCGAAGCGGTGTTTAAGACATGGAGACTGAGAAATTGAGAAACCGAAAATTAGAACTACAATACATAAGTTTGCAATGATAACTTTTTATGTCCTAGTTTCAGCCAAGTTAAGTGAAAAATGGCAGTCAAAAACTTTGTTTTCGTGAAAGAAAATCAGTTTACCTGACGCTCAAATTAGCCAAATTACTGAAGTTATTATCACCTTACCTTTTTTGAATCTAATCAAGTAATTGTTTCAGTGATCTGTGCCTTGTTTATCCATAAAAGCAAATTCATTGGTCAAAAACACGAGTAGCATAAAGCAGAACAACTGCACCGAAAGCTGTACACAGAATGAAGCCGAGCGCGCGGAAGACTTTGATTGGAAAGTGTGACTGAAAAAGTGACCGGAAATGCTTAACCTGGCGCATGCGTAGACGTTTTGCCGAGGTGTTCTTTGAAGGCGGTCCTGGAAAACTCCCTTGGATTTGTGGGCTCCATTTTCGCTGAAGAAAGCTCCCTTGCAAGAGCCAAACATGTACGGTGAACAGTCGAGTTTGCGGATAAACTTCTTCGTATAAGAAGATTGCGAAAACAAAGCGATAGATGCTGGCCTTTTGTTGGGCACAAAATTACTTTTTTGTGTCAAATCCCAGACAAACCTTCGAATAAGTCGTGGAACTGGTTCGTTAAGAGTAGCATTCCAGCGGCTCTCTCGCCTGTTCTTGAAAACTTTCGAGGATGCTTCTACTAAAAAAAAATAATCTTTACAAGTGCCCACGAAAATATTTCACATAGTTCATGTTGAGTTGTTTGTGAATTTTCCTAATGTAGCTGTTGTTCACATGGGCTTTCATAGCAAAGAAAGAAAACCTGAACAACAGAACAAATCTTCATGTTAAAGTACGCAAAGGCACCTAATACCTACTAAAATGTACATGTTCGTTTGAGTTATGGAACGGACACTTAAGGTGGCTGAACACAGTTTTGGCAGTTTGTGAGTATATGTCATTTGCCAAGTCATGGCAAGAGAAAGGTTGCAGCTCACAAGCTGAAACTTGGCAAGTGAAAAATATACTGATGAAAGATTCTGATTGACAGGTAAAACTTGAAGTTTTCGCAGTTTCCATGGCAACATGAATGATTGCATACAACCTTAAAATTTCACTTTTCTTCAGTTTACATAAAATTTGCTCATTAGATTTTCCTATAAACTTGCACACAGCCTCCTATAACTAATCATTACCAGTTGAAGCTTATTTGATCAAATTTTAACAAACGGACTTTTAGATAATCAATAATATAATTGTATTGTAATTATTAAATGTGTCACGAAATCCGTCTGTTCAACTTCCATTTTAAAGTTTTCATTATCTAAAATACGATAAAAGTAACAATTTTGCCAAATATCACAAAATGAGCAGATTTTGAGAAATCGTCTTCTGTGTACCATTGCTTTTTCGCCGCCATGTTTGTTTGTCTAATTAAAAACACGCGCGCTCATGCGAGTTACCGCTGACCGCCCGCAAAACTGTGTTCAGCCACCTTAAAAACGTCGATCGTAAGAAGGCAATCAATTTTTTGTGACTTGTTCACAATATAATCTCGATAATTAAAGAAAAGTTATTCCAGACACACACACAGAAATTAAAAAGTTTCTGGCGCATCCCTAAATTATTAAATCCTGCCGTCCCGCATTTGGTTTTGATCTAATTCCTTCTCACTTTAAGTAGATCCTTTTTTTAAAGTGGTATAATTCTAATTGTCGTCGATACTTACGGTCGGTCCATTTATATGGCTTGCAGTCTGTCCCAATATGGCAACCCTGAATGAGACATCAGGAGTTCTTACTAGTCCTTACTATCCAAGGCGTTACCCTCCTAACGAGAAATGCAGCTGGAAAATTACAGCAAGTAAAGGAGAACGCATTGTGTTGGTCATTGAAGACCTTCATATTCGGTCCTGTGGTTCATCTTGCACGTGTGATTACCTGGAAATTCAAAATGGCTCATCAACTGATGGCATTTCAGGCAGGCGAAGATGTAGATACTATAAAGACCGTGGGATAATATACCATTCAGCAAAAGATGTCCTGAGGGTGACGTTTGTTTCTGATAGTAATACTTACCGGGGGTACCGTGGATTTAGGGCAATTTACACGAAAGCGAAATATAATGCAACAACCACCGGTAAGTTATTAGAAATTGGCTTTAAACGCAAAGTTAAAGGTTTTTTTGCAGGCGATTAGGTGATCAATTTTCAAGAAAGTTATATAAAATATTATTGCCTTGATTATAACAAGCTTGTAGCAACTGTCAACGCACATCGGAGTAAAACACCCCAAACTAAAATGCCGATGGAATGCCAACAATTTTCATTCGCATGATGTTAAAAGTATTTGGTGGAAAATCTCCTATTTTCTTATGCTTATCTATCTTTCGATTGAGTTTTTTGTTGTTGTTGTTGTTTTTGGTTCACAGACAGATTACCCTTTGATTTTATATTATAAAGCTAGTTTATTTCCTCTTGTTGCAGCTTGTACATCTGGCGAATATCTTAATGGATTTAGTGGATTCTTTTCAACTCCAAATTTTCCCGGTGACTATCCTCAATACAGCATATGTATCTGGAATATCACAGTTCCAAGCGGGTACATCATTAAACTCAGCTTCGTCAACTTTCAATTAGAGCCGCATCAGTACATCCCTTGCTATTATAATGCTCAAAAAGCCCGTGTTACAGTCACAAATGTTGCTTCAGATGGCCAGTATCAACCGTTCATGCTGTGCGGTCAGGAACTTCCTTATCCAGTGTACTCAGTGGGGAATTCAATGCAAGTTATATTCACGTCTCTGCGCAGTCAATACTCAGGGTTTAATGTAACTTACATGGCTATCACTTATAGTTCAGGTACGTGGTATATATTATTTATAAGACATCAATGATTGAGTTAAGATTCGAAAAAAAGCATCATCAACAACAACAACTCGCCTCATAAATGGTAATCCAAGAATGTCTTGGATTCGGGATTCCATACCGTGGATTCTGGATTGTAAGTACTGGATTACGGATGTCAATGGAATTAAGCCCCCGTTCAGACCCCGAACTTTCCATGAGCCGAACCTAATACATTGAAGCAAGTACATCGAAAGTTTGGCGTCTGAATTGATTAGTAACACCTGTTTCAATTTGGAACGGCTCAGCCGTTGTTTTCGCCTGGCCCGGGCGGGAATTTCGCCTTAGAACAGCTTTAATTCAGCCGCCAAAATTTTCATGTACCGAACCTAATGTATAAATTATTATGGCGTATTTGGCGTCTGAATCAATTCAGCCGGTCTAAATAATTTGGGTCGGCCTTAATTCGAATTAGGTTCGGCTCATGAGAAGTTTCGCAACTCAACCGGAACTTAGATTCAGGATTCCAATCATAAGTAGGATTCTGGACTCTTCGAGTACAATCTCAGATTCCAAATCCCAGGATTCCGCATTCCGCAAGCAAATTGTTTAAATATCCGATTCCGGTGTCCGGATAACCTTACATGGAGGGAAACACAGCCATAAACAAAGAAACAAAAAGAATTACTTTTTATGGAACTAGGTCGATCTCTCACTATCAGGCAATTTGGGTACTTACCAGGCGATCAAAAAATTGACTTAGAAAATACCGTCAGTGGCATCTAAGCGTGGACAGCAGAAAAAAAAAAATTTTCTAATGGTGTGCCAGACATCGCGTATTTTGCCGCCAAACATTTGGGGCCGGTTATTTAAACGGAGTCTAAGTTAACCCGTGTTTAAGGTCAAGCTGCAATTTAGACGTTGTCTCGATAAACAACGGTTAAACCATGTTTGAAATGCATTATCAAAACGTGACTGAGCCGTGTTTTTTCCAGTCAAAGGCTAAACAATGTCTCAAAAGGAAATGCATTGTCTGTGGGGGTTATTTGTATGCACATTTAATTCCTTGCTGGAAGTTGTGACTCAATAAGGTCTCTAAATCCGGTCGAAAAACCAATTTTAGCAAAGAAGAAAAACTTTTAATGGCGGCATTGGGAAGAGTATTTCCAGAAGCAAAAAAATAAAGTATACGACAATAAAAGCTTTCAAAAATTCAACTCTCAAAATCAAAACGGTATCAAACGGGAAATGAATCAGATCCAAGGATGCCGGAGGCGGCTGAAACTCCAATTCAAGAAAGAACACGATTTGCAAAGTCGTGAAGCAAGAAAAACTAGTGGAAGAAAAGCTCTTAGTGATCTTGAAGTTATTCGCAGGAAAGAAGCAAATGTCAGGAAAAAGGACAGAAAAGAAGGATAGTCAGGAGTACCGCAGTAATTTTCGAACGCCCCCCCAAAAGGAAAACTCTCTCTTAATATATGTTAGGTTCTCAGGGAATGACAAGGAATGTTCTTTTTTTGTTTCGCGATAGCCCATGAAACCTTGTAAATGCAGCAAATACACTGCACCAAATAAATCGCCGATAACCTGCCAGAAAGTTCACACCCGTTGTATAAAATCTCAAAGCAATATGAAATTATGGCAGCAACGGTGCAAGCGGCACACCAGTCTTCTTGTTGAAAGATCTTCATTCAAAAATTTTAAGAGGTCAATTACCGAGTCCTTTTTAAGGCCAAAAAGTAATCGAAAATCTTCGTCATCATATTTCTCCAAAGGGTAAAACCTGTCCCTGTGGTGTGGAATTTGTTGAACATGCATTTTACCCTGCGGTAGTCTCTTTTCCCCTTAACTCTCTGTTGCGCACAGTATTCCGCCCGATTTGAGGCCATTTCATTCATTTTGGATGGCGATGAAAAAACCGTTAAACAACGTTTAAACCTACCTGTGAGCGGGTTTAACTTTCTATTGTTCCTTAATCGATGTTTAGACGGCACGGTCTAAAGAAGGTTACGGAAGAACAGCGTTTAAACAATCGGTTTTTATGGTTTAAACATGGGTTAGACGACGACTTTCATAAACGCTGTCTAACCTTGGTTTAAATAAATGACCGGCCCTTAAAGTTTGACAGCCGTTACGTGTAAAGCAAACTGTCTCGCCAAAGGTAAGTTGTTTTTACGTTTTTGATTAGCGCGTTCCGCTAATATTTCATTTTTCGTAAATTTCAGGCATATTTATCGCTCAGAAACGGCACACTTGCTTCCAGAAATTATTCTTAACGTGCAGAAATTCTTGCAAAGAATATTTTGTTGAGCGAAAAAAAATCAAGTCGACAGCAGCCGCCTACTTCAAACTTCGAGTGTTTGCCGGCAAAACATATATGTTTGCACCCATTTAGAACATGTTTTTTCCTCACGTGTACACGCGCGCTTAGATGCAAATGACGGTATTGACGTTTTTAATTAGTGCTTGAAAATGTAGAAGAGCAAAAGAGCTGATAGAGGAATAACGAAATGCGACAGGGAACACGATGGGTAAAACTGAACAAGATATTGCATTAGAACGCCAAGTTTGTCCTCTTATTTGTACGAATTCTGATGCTCCAGAATAATCGATCTTGGAGATTACAATTTTGTCAGCCAAAGGGGTCTCTTCCGCCAATTTGAAGCTAAGTTTAAAGCTCAGAGTTACCAAAGACAGATAAAATTACCGAAAATACCGCGGGTTATAGTTAAAGCCTTAAAATTACCAAGAAATACGGGATAACATAAACTCGTGCTGGAAAGAAAAGTATTGTAGCACTTTTCGTAATCGATGGCAGGAAGCAAGATGTTTTGTCAGTGAGAAGTATTTTGTATTTAAGCACCCTTATGAATCAAGCATGGAACCTTTATCTATCTTAGTATTTCATTAAAGCAGATACACTAAGCCGTTTTCAGATGGATTCTGGGATATTGAGACGACAGTAAAGAAGTGCTCTTAAAAATATTGATGGAAGAGTGGGGAAGGAGAAGATCTGCTTTGGCAAGAAATTAAGGGTGTTAATAAGAAAAAAAAATGTTTGGAATATTTTTTTCTAATGTACTCCAAGAGATGTGTGTAATATTCTTTTACAGTCTGTCCAAATATGACAACCTTGAATGAGATTTCAGGAGTCATCACCAGTCCTTTCTACCCCAGATATCATTCTATTAACAAAAGCTGCAGCTGGGAAATCAGGGCAAGAAAAGGAAAACGAATTATATTTACCATTGAAGACATGGATTTTAATTGGTGGTGCAGTGGAGTATGGTCTTGCTCGTGTAATTATTTGGAAATTCAAGGTGGATCTATTTCAGGCTATGATGGTCCCAAATGGCGTGTATGTGGTCTTTTAACAGCCAACGCAACGTATGATTGGTTTAAAGAGAGAATTAAAGTACTATTTGTCTTCGACGGTGGTCAGTTACGATGGGGCCGTGGATTTAAAATATCATATACTCAAGTAAACTACAGTGTGTCCGGTAAGTAAATATTGCTTGTTTCCTGTTGTGGAAGTGAAAATGAGAAAATCTTGGGCTATATTTCAGGATTCAGTTACCGACAAGTTTTGTGTTTTGTTTTTGCTTTTGTTGATCGTTTGTTTGCTTTTAACATTTGGGCAATTAGCTTATCATCTGGGTGGGGCAAACACCTTACTTTCTCTGTGGTATGTTTTGGTTGGCGATTGACTGGCCAAAAAGTATAGGTGGGGTGGGAGGGGGGGGCATGAGGTTTTGAGCCTTGTGTAAGGGGTGGGTTGTGCAATTTTCAGCTACCCCCTGTAAAACACAACCAGCTGGAATTATTGCATCCTCGGAGACCCAGGGGCAGTCAGTCGAGTCGGGAGAAAGGGCGCGACGAAAGTTTTCAAGTACGGGCGAAAGAGCCCCTGGGTACCGACTTTCACCGAGCTATTCCCAAAAATTCAAGCGGATGCCGGCTCCTGATTGGGCACAAAAAATGCTTTTTATTATTGTGCCCAATCGGTGAACAGTTTCTCCTGAATTCCTTTCATGAGTTCGTACACGACGGCTATTGTTTCAATCACGGCTTGTCTGGCTCATGCACCAAGGAAATGCCGGCAGTCAGGAAACTTTCAGTTTGATATGAAATCCCCATCTGATTTCAAAATACTGTCTGCCCGAAAACTAAAGACGCTTTTCCAAAACTACAAGCTTGAGCTTACAACAGGTATTCAAGCTTGCATCGGTCACGTCTTGCGTAAATATTAGGGAATTTTGAAAAGATACCACGACGGCTGACAATCACGAAAACGTCGCATGGAAAAGGGAATTCAAATTCTTTCAGTTTCTATCGTGATTATTCCAACTCGCTTACTTTGTCAAATGCGAGCGAACTCTTCTGGGGCTGAATTTCTATCAACATATCCAAGTCCATGAAGATAATAAATTTTGTCATTGCTTGTTTACGTCCTTCACAAAACATGAAATTGGGCATTTTCACGGGTAGTCGTGCAGTTGACGGCAAAGAAATGTACAAAAAAGTGTGATGCACGTGCAAAGTTATTGTTTTTCCTTGTCAAGCTATTGCTTATTTGACTTTCTCGTCGCCGCCGCATCTTTATCTTCTTATTAAATGATAGCATCCCAAACGTTTTTCTGACTCATCGGTAGTTCCTTCGTTTCTGGTTGGGAAAGTAGAAAATAAAAGTTTCCCTTGGTGAACGAACCGGGCAAGTGTGGCAAGACAATTGCCGTCGTGTACGAACTCACGAAAAGAACTCAGGGGAAACTGTTCGCCGATTGGGCACAATAATACAAGCTGTACCTTGTTCACCGCTTTCGTATGGAGGAGAAATGCTGGAAACAATCTTGTCGATATTAACTGGCATCCTTTCATTTTCCTCGTCCTTGACTTTGTCCTTCCTTCTTTTCCCCGCCTGTTGTTTGTTTTCAGGTTTCCTCTGGTCTTAAAGTTATAAAATTGTTTGTGCTTTTTGACCAGATCTTCTATATTGTGCTTGATTTCTCGGACCTTTTCTTCATTCTAGCGAAGTGTTCTAAAACACGTTCTACGGAACTGGTACGCACATTCATAACCCGTCTAGAGTTTAGAAGTGGTCTTGGAAAATAGTATAACGCGTCGGCATTTGAAATCACTTTCCGAACTTTATTTGCACTTAGGTCTATTTCTTTTCACTGTTTTGAGATTATTTTGCAGCATGGTAAGATCTTTTGGTTTCAATTTCAAGTATAACTGCTGTTAAGAAATTTGCCGGCTGATGCAGGATTTTTTTCGTTTTCTCTATATATACCCCCCGCAAAACTGGCATCCAACAGTTGGAATGCCAGTGATACTGAGCGATTTACCAATAAGGACGGTGCCCACTAATGGGAAGTATTTTTTCCCAGATAATGACTATGTGACACAAGTAGATCATATCAGGGGCTATTGAAATCCAAAAAGAAAACTGGGGATAACAACGCATTTTTCAGAGATAACTGCGCTTCAATATGGAGAAAAACGCTGAATAGGCGGTTTTTAGAAGAATGATAAAATGTATTTTTCCCAAAATTTCAGAGTGTACACGTGAACTGGCACAAATGCAATGATAATTGTAACAAGGTTTCAAAATAGGCAACAAATGATAACATAACAACTGCTCTTTATACATCTTTTTTTGTAATATCAGCACAGCTAGGGAGTTATCAGCAGTTACCCCTCTCCACGCGTTTGCCTCAAAAATAGTGTAAACGACATTTTCCCCGAACCAAAAATTGATCGTTTGCTGAGTAGGCTTATTACTTTCATTAATTTTGGTAAGATAAAAAGTAGGGGTTACCACGCAATTTTAGAAGTTAAATTGGTTGGTTTCGACTTTAACTTAATCGCTTTGGGGGTTATTTACAATTTTTCCCATCCCCTCCCCGGTCAGTTTCACTATTGCTTCACTCAACGCGGAGTACTCTGGGGGTATCCACAATGGCTAACAGTCAGAGAAAACAACAACACACGAAGGAGAGCAAAAACAGAAAGTGAAGCAGGACATTTCATGGACTCTAAGGAAAACAAATTATACTATTTCATTCAACTGGAGCTTCTCCCTCTCAAACATTTAACAAAAATGTTTGGAAAAGAGCAATCTCCAAGGTATTAGAGATTACTTGAAGCGCACATAGAGTAGTATGGCGAGTTCAAGATCCACGGCTGGTGCTGTATACAAACTACCGTACTGTAGTGGAAAATAGTCGTCAGGGACTCTAAGACAGGTACTCCTTCAATCGTTTGCTTACCTGTACATGTCCTCAAGATCTTTTGTACTGTAAATGTAATATGGATTGTAAACCTTCTATCGTTTTTTTATCATTTTAACGGGTACCTCGATCGAATATGTTATTAAACTTGCATACATTCAATGAGCTTATATCTGTGCGTGCTTTGCTCTATCTCTTTCGGGCTTTGCCACAAGTTTCATATGACATAAATAATTTGCATTGACTCAAGTTCCATACATGAGCTCTCTTTTAAAAAATCTGAATAGTGTGAAAGTAGTTGTACCGAATGCGTTTATGTTCCCTCAAATATGCACTGGGCTGTAATGATCGTTTTATATATTTCGTTTTGATTTTTTTTTTACTGTAGCATTCTGTGTCATGATGATTCACTATTTTTCGTTTCTAAATGTTAATTTTAGACTTAACAGTGTCTGTCTAAGAAAGTCTTAGAATGGAAATACCGTAAAATTCCGAAAATAATCTCCGGGGCTTATATTTTTCAAAGGCCCTTTTTGAGGGGCTTACTTTTTGGAGGGGCTTATATTCGGAGGGAAATTTGTGTTTCAAACTCGATTGGGCTAGCCTTATAATTGGAAGTAAATTTACCGTTTTTGCTTTGTTTTACTTTGTATTTGAGGACAATTTTCCAAGTACAAGCCCCCGGGGGGCTTATATTTGGAGGGGCGATTTAACGGAGGGTTTTTTGCGTTACCGGTTGGGGGGGCTTATATTTGGAGGGGCTTATACATGGAGGGGCTTATTTTCGGAATTTTACGGTACTTTATTTTACCTTCCATCTTTTGTTTGTAAACAGCCAAATGGCAGCTGTGTGTAAAAGTCCAGATTATGTGTGGCGTGAAATTGAACCTTAAGAAATACTATCTACAAGACAAACTGCCCATGAGTCAATAATTTGAATGCTTAGTAAGGCCAAAATGCTCAAATAACAATGATAATAGTAAAAAGCATAACAATTTTTTTTATCATTTTTTCCCCGATGAAAGCGATTCTTTTGCGGTCCGCAACTATTTGTGAAGCTGCGATCTAAGCAATCCACGAACAATCTTGTGATAGTTTTTTTCTTGTTTGTTCAACAAATAAAAACCTCGGACTCTCAATAAAAGGGACATCTGTATGTACTCAAACGCTTTAGATCTATCTTCTGGTGAATAATTACATAAAATCTTACAAAATTAAAGAAATATTCGGGAAAGTGTTTCTGACCGATTAGCCGATAAAACGCGAAGGACGAGAGTGAAAGGTAAGCTTGCAGTTTCTCGATTAAGCGGAGGACTTAGAGCTATTTTCCGTCTGATTTACTGATCCTTGCTTATTAAGGGATTTTTTAATACCCAAGCTCTAAGCGTCTTGAAGCAATAACTTTTGATGTTTTAGAATTGACTTCTGTTTGACTATAAAATGTTCGGTCAGATCGATCATACGTAGAAATAGCAACATGCGCGTACTTCTTCGGTTTTCAAAGAACTGACAAAGTAAATAGAAATTATTTTTCCTCTATTGAAAAACGACGCATCTCTTCCACAAGGAAATAACTAAAACCTCCCAGACTTACAGGAGACAAAAACAGTCCACGTGTCCTGCGTGTTGCGCATTTCTTTTGCGTCGAGCGCGACTACCTTGGTATGCGCAGAAAATGTGCGCAGTAACAATAGTGTGCACCGTCCTTAAGCGTACTCGCCAAACTCAGTTGCTAATGTTGTTAAACTCCTTATGAAGCGAGGCAACAGGTTAGATTTATGATTTTGACATACACAGAACAGGCTTTACTGGATTATTAAGAGGAAACCAAAAATAAATGTATTCATATTAAGGGTGGGTCATGTAATTTCCAACCTTGCTTTAGGTTGGGTCAGTCATTTTGTGCCGAAGGGAGGGGGTGGGCCATGTGTTTTTTTTTTTTTTTATCAACCACATTCCAAATGCTCTTCTCTCCAATATGGTATGGCATGCCTATTACTCAGGATACATCACTGCGTCACTTGTAATCCTCTCTTAGGATGTTCCAACTACACATACCTCAACGAGTCCAGCAGAGCAATGACATATAACAAAAGTGTTTCTTACCCATGCGATGCAAATCTAAACGGATGGTACAGATTCACTGGAGAGGCTGGAACGCAAATGGCTGATTCTTGTGTCAACATGTATCATTGCGGGACCGAGTCACCTGGATGGCTAAACGGAACTCATCCCGACTTAAATGATGGGGCCGTTAAACGCCAAGTGTGTTTTAGCTCTTTTGACAACTGTTGCCATGATTCAAATGAAATAACTGTACAACATTGTGGAGCATTTTACGTTTACAAACTTGGAGGACAATCCCTTGGCAATCTGCGTTACTGTGGAAACGGATCGCCATACGCACGAGGTATTAACAAAAATAAAACAACAATCGTTTTATTTCATTGTTTGACAGGCGTATTTTCATGCATTTTCCAGAAAATTTTCAAAAATTCATGCCTTCTTTTCAATGAAATTTCATTTTCTAGCAAAATAAGAATTAAACACTAAGCAGTTTTGAAGAAAATAATATAGAAGCAACTATGGCTCATAAAGTAGTAACTGACGCTGAACAAGTAGACAAGAATTTGACAGATTGTACTACACGGAGTTTTCCTTTCTTTCATAGAATGCTACAATTACAAAGTTCTTAACGAGACCAGCAGATCGAAAACATATCATGGATCTTATCATTATCAAGGTGATCGTATGCTGTCGACCGGCTGGTACAGATTTAGTGGAGCAGCTGGAAATCAAATGGCAGAGTCTTGTGTTGATAGGTATCGTTGTGACACATATTACCCAGGTTGGCTCAATGGAAGTCACCCTACAGTAAACGAGGCGGTTGTTCAAAGAAGAGTGTGTTTCGGTTTTCACGGTCACTGCTGTATCTATTCGACTTACATCAGAGTCCGTAACTGTAGAGACTTCTACGTTTACCAGCTAAAGCCCTTAACTGTATGGTACTTACATTACTGTGGCAACGGATATGTATCATCGACACCAACGACGCCAGGTACCACGTTTTCCTTCTTTTTTTTTTTTTTTTTTTTTTTTTTTTTTTTCATCCTGAAAAGAACGCATTAGGCATTTATCGATGAATCAACTAACGGACACACTGTTTAGCTTCATATGGTGAAAATGAACGCCATTTTTTCTAGCGTATTGCCACCCTTACTCCCCACAAATAAACCCTCTAATGAGAGAATTAATCAGACAGCCCTTAACGACAACTGTATGGTTGAAATATTGGTTTTCCGTCCTGAAGACTCTAAGTGAGCCTAAAATGTTCAATTTACACCCCTAAACGAGGCTTCAAGGGAGGGATACAGCTTCCTGCACAGGACTAAGAAATCAGCCCCAGCCCACCTGATTCCGAAATTGTCTGCCTATCTGGAGCTTACTACGAGTTTTTCTTAGTTTTTCCTATTTGGCACATTACAATTGTGCCAAGCATAGAATATACGCTCTTGGCTGAAGCGCTGACGAAAACTGCTAAAAACATAATATAGAGAGGATATTACATGCCCGCCCGGAGATATGAAATTTCTCTTCGAGTGTTGAAAAATCTTTCACGAGTGAGCGCAGCGAACGAGTGAAATATTTTTTTCAACACGAGAAGAGAAATTTTGTATCTCCAAGCGACCATGTAGTGTTCTATTTATTATATAAACACCAATGAAATACCAAACCATTTTACTTAACTAGTTTTTTGGTCTGAAAGGTGCGGTTTATTATGAAGCCGTAGCAGCGGTGAAATTTTCACATGTGAAGATAACTTGTTATTTTCACATGTGAAGATATCAAGTTTTTGCGCGAAAGCTCATGATCACTTGGTATTTCATTGGTGTTTAATTGGTTCGAGGTACGAGAACCCAACCACTAATTTGTGTTTGTAGCTCGGCGGCCGTTGTGTCACAACTTAAATCTACCGAGTTGTGTAGCTTGGCAGCCGTTGTGCCACAAAGTAAATCTACCGAGATGTGAAGCTCGGCGGCGCCATAGTTTGATCATGACTTGTGATATTTTCGGAACCGCACAAACGAACACTTTAACTCTATGTTATTTATTACGAAAAACTTATAAACCAGCCCACAGTAGCGCCACTCTCGAGTTACTGAAATCAACACGCTCGACCAAATTACTGGAAAAGTTATTGACGTGAGCCGGACACACATTCCATTGAAGGCCCTGACAGGGTTAGTGCGAAGTTTGAATTCAGATGTGAAAGCTTTTAAAACAGTGAATTCAATTTAATTCACTCGACGATAAAATTCATATCCCCAAGCGGCCATGTAAATGTTCCGTTTATTTTACCGATACTGATTTTTTCGATTAGTGATTTCTTTAGAATCCCATACTCGATTTTTCCAGAATCCCAAGGAGTTGTATCGGTGTCGGTCACAAACTATAATATAGAACCCTCGATTTTTCAAACTTCGCGATATTTCGAACTAATTCTCATCACCAGAAATTCAGGTCACCGTGGACTCACCTATCAAATTTCTATATTTATTATTTCATTCATTTATTTATAATCACTTTCCCCTTTATGGTGACCAACACATAAAAGAGCAAGGCTTCAATTTAAGTGTGTCCTTACAGATAACCCACCCAACCCAAAAGAGGCTGACTACACCACCCGGGTCTACATCGGCCTACTCTTTTCGAAGAGTGGTGTGAATTCTTTCAGATTTTACGTGGGACGGGACCAACGGTTTTTCGTCCTTATGAACTGTCAAATAACACATGTAAAGCGGCCATGTAAATGTTCTGTTTATTCTACCGATACTGATGAAATTCCTACATAAAACACAACTGTTTTTTTATTTATTTTCGAAACAGCAAAATAGTGCAATTAAAGTGGTCACCTATCGCAAAACGCCTGTTGCAAAAATGTTATGAAGCTCGGATATAAAGTTATAAAGGAGAAATAAAGACAATAATACTAATATATTCCTGTTCCAAAAAGTCAAAATTCTGATGAAGAAGAGAAACATTTTGGCTAATAATGTTAGTAACCACGGCGACACCAATATCCTCACAAGTGAAAGATGAAAATAGTATCTTCACTGAGCTCGATGAAGATATGATTTTTTAGTAAAAGGAAAAATCCTGGTATTTCATCAGTATCTATATAATAAAAAGTAATATCTTCATCCCACAAAAAACTAAAATATAGTTTGTCCCGCGCAGGTAACAATTCAGTGACTGTTTCAAGCTTGCTGAGGACATGCCATCACTATCGGTTGGCCAATAAATGTTGTTTAATGGATTCGTATAGAAATACATGTTAATCCCACGTTTCTGGAGAGACACTAATTTCTTTGTTTTTGTTTGTATATTAATTATTGGTTCATCAGAGTTACCACACACATCCACCAAAAAAGTACCACCTGCAAGTAAGTATCCTATGAAAATTAAAGTAGAACAGTGGTAAATTTCTGATTCTACTTCAATTTAGAGTTCGCTTAAAAACAAAAAAATTGGTTTCTCCCAGCAGGCGCACCGAGCACCACAGACGCAGAAAAAACACCCAAAAGTAAGTTTTTTAGGAGGCTCAGATCACATTACGAGCTTAGAGGAGGTTAAAAACAATGGAAAATTATAAAACCGTGAGCCCTTAAAGGCTACCCTGGCTACAGAGGTCCGTTCTCGAAATACCAAGGATGAAATAAACCGTGCTCACGGTTTGATAAAGCTCCCGCGACGCGAATTATCGGGAATTAGATACGAAAGAAATAACCTCTGGATTCCCGATTCCAAAAAGCTGTCGTTGTCGCGGTCGCTAAATGAAGAGAGCTGGTCGTTTACAAGAGGTTCTAATTACAGGGCTTTGCCTGGGAACGTTTCAGTGCTTTTGATACATAAAAATTATAGGTGGTTGGTCACTTACGACAGGTGGTCGCACATGGAGGTTTGGACAGTGTACTTTTTTTTGTCAGTTTATGATATCAGTCAGATAACAGTTAACGTCGAAATAAGCTTCTCTGATGTTATATTTTCGGGGCTTCTAGTTGGTCGTGTTTGTCCACTTTTAGTATAACTCATTATGCGCCGGGCACCTGAAGTAATGTGATTTCCGTTTTGAATAAACCGTAAAGATGGAGTTCACGGGTTATTGATGTCCATACTGTTAACTGCGATTTCATGTCACTTCGATAATCCATCTTGGACAAACGTGATTTCTCAGTTCAAGCGGATTGAACTCATACTGTTACGATCTTTGTAAAAGTATCGATTTCAGTCTCTAAAAGACAGGGCTAGAATTTCAAACTTCAGAAGCTTGGAATTAAGCCTTATTGGATAGCTGGTTTTTGAGACTTTGCAGTCAGAAGGTAGAAAAAGTACTGAAAACCATGCATTTAAGCTCATTTACAATTACTTTGAGGAAATCTGTATTGAATGATTGAAATAAAGGCCTTGAATACAAATTTCCACTTCTCAAACTCTGGAGTAGTGATTTTGAACTACAGTGTAGGTTTGATTTCTCCTCCAATTTTCTTTTTCTATTTTGTAAGCTAATTCTCCAATTGTAAAATTGTAGATTTAAGCTTGAATATTATAAGTGAAATCTTGTTTACTGCGTCTATTTACAAGTGGTAGAGACTTGGAATTCAAGATCATTTGGTGGATCATCTTGCATTCAAGCTTTTTTATGTGCAAAAAGCTTAGATTCAAGTCTCCTCACAAAAACTGCTTAGATTGGAGTTTTCAAATTAAGGAAACTCAAATCTTACATAGTTCATTATTTCAATGCTTTTTATGTTTTCATCTAATCATATACTTGTATTGGTACATTGTGAATGAAATATATCTCGGTTACTTCTCAAGGGTTCTTTCTAAAGGCTTTTAGGTCAACTGGTTGCTCCATATTAGAACTTTAAAAAGTAGATTAATTGGTTAAAGTGTTTTCTCAATGAGCGAGAAAAAATGCGTTAATAGACTGTAATCAGGGTTGTTAAAGGCAAAATTAAAAGTTTCAGGATCTAATGGCTTGTTTGCTCTAACAGTCTAACGAGAAGGAGCTTCAATTTAGAGATTAGATTGCCAGATTGAAAATTACGACTTTGGATAAGTTGTTTCATCGCTTTATAGAAGACAATTAAAATATATTTACTTTGTAGTCATCTTTACTGAAGATATACCTATTTCCTGTCACTAATCTTTTTCCTTTTTCATTGTTTGTAGGGGCGATGTACAGTGAACCTGAGCATCGGAGCATTGTTGTTATAGATATTGATAAAGAGATAACTGACAGGCGTGGCAGCATGCGACAAAAAAGCTGTCCAAAATCAGGATTCAAAATCCTTATCTGATCCACATCCTTCCGTGTATAGCTTAATCCAGTATTGAGGCGCAAAAAAAGAGATAAGATTGAGAATGAATAAAGGGAGACTCCGAATATTTACAAATTCTTACCCTTTCCTTGTTAGCTTAAAATAGGGAGTATTGTTTTATAAGACACACGTGACTCTCCGGTAGCCTGTTCTAGGCTCTCAGAATGTGGGGATGACGCACACATGTAAGTGAAAGGCGCGCGAAAAGGAGTTTTGATGGTAGTGTGCTACTCGAGCAAGAGATTTCTCAGCTATCTACTATAAAGAGTGGATTTAAATTGGTGCCATGCATAACAACGGGCGGTTTGCAACGAGTAAGGATGGCGTTTCGCTAGAAGTACCTCGATTCTGCATGAGTCTCTAAAAATGCAGAAGGGTGAACGCTGGGCCATGTCAGCCTGAGAAAATAGCCGACATTTCGCGACGCCACCACTGGTTTCCCCGCGCGAAATGACGTCTGAGAAACGACTGCAGAAATGTTTCACTACCCAGATCTGGGTAGTGATTCTGATTGGTCGAGGCGTGAAGGAAATTTGCTTCAGCCAATCAGAAGCACTACCCAGATCTGTAATCAGTATGGAATTTCTGCGATCGTTTGTCAGACGTCATTTCGCGGGAAACCCGATGGTGAAATGACGGAAATGACGGCTGTTTGTTCAGACTAGGGCGGTGCATGCTATTTACTTGTTGAGCTTAAAAATATTTTATTGACAGTTCTTTGCCTGACTAAGAAATAATTTCTCTTTTTGTGTTTTTTTTTTTTTTTGGTCGTCGATAGGAAACAGTTAAAAATTGCAGTTTGCAGAATAGACAGTGCGATGCAGCGGCGTGGTTCACTAAATCAGCAGCCACTGCGCCTTGTGGTTGATACGCTCACGCTCGATGTTAGGTAAGACAAAGAAAACCACTTGTGAACTGTTCAATTTTGAGAAGCAAAGTAAATCAATGCTTTCCTAGGCAAATGATGCCTTTGTACTGCAGTAAAACAAGAGGAACAAGGGCAAGCCAGCTTTACTTGGGACCCTAGTATAATGTATATCATAAATCACTGAATGGGTGTTGGGCGTGCTCAGAGGCTGCACTTTGCAGGTTCCAGTTTGTTAGGGCATACATTAATATTTACACCTGTCCACTAGAGAAGGGTCGCGTTTATACGTCTACGACCTCACGATGGTTAAGGGTGAACAGGGCTACAAAGGAAAACCTTTGAGAGCTTTTTTAATTTAAGTGATATGTCATAGCATAAGTCAACCATACGTTTTCCTTTCCAGGCACTAATGCAAGTGGCTTCACAGGATTGGACTCAGCACTGTCAGCCGTCTATGAATTACAAAGTGTCAAATTATACACCTTTATTACAATGTATCCTATTACAGATACACTGTAAAAATTTTTTCAAATAAAAATGCTAAGTTTAGTTGAACATAATACTTTTTTACAATAAGAAACCTCGTAAATTTTCATTTAGAAATCAGCATCTTGTTGCAGTTTGAAAGGACGCCGAGTTAAATTTCAAATTTTTACTTCGAATTTACTCTTAGCATGTGTGTGACCACATTCGAATCGTTTAACTGATTTTTTTACACTGTCGTTCGTGTGTTAAAAGTAATAAATTATGAATAAATAAATGATAGAATGGAATTAGAATGCGTTGTGATTTTCCCTTATGGAAAGTTTTAAGTTCTACTAGTTTGTCAAAATTAACAACGATTTTGATCTAAGTTCTTTTTCTGGTATTAACATTGGCATCAAAGTATTTTCTACGAAAGCGTAAGAACGGAAACGTTTCAAAGGTTCTTTTTAACTTCACTATGAATGAAAAAGTTTAGGGGACGACAAGGAGGAGAGGAACACGTTGGCAATTTTTCGTATTTTCGGGGGTACTCCCCGTAATGACCTATAAGGAGAAGCTCCGCCCCAAAGAAGTACCTTTCTCGTTATAAAATGAGTATAAAAAGGTACGAACCTCGGGATTGAACCTCCCTTTATACAACTTTGTTCATCCCCCCAACCCCCCAGAGGGATAACTCCTTGAGTCCGCTTGAAACCTTTCAACTATGATAGGTATTCTCTATCAGTCTCTTTAACCTTTGCGGCACGGATCATTATCTGCGTTTGTTAAAGAGTAATACTTTACTAGAAACAGTACCAACCTAGGACCAGCCAGTTGGCCTGAATAAGTTTTACAAAAACAAAAATACGCGTGCACACTTATTCGTATCGTATTCGAAATCGAATCGTTTGAAACACAAAAACAATGAATAGGTAGCATCCTTTACAGGGCATGCGCCGTATGATGTCTGAAATCACAGCATGGGCGTAGCCCTGAGCTTTTCGAGTATTTGTAGGCCTGGCTGGCTTTCATTTCCACATATTCTGAAAATTGCACGCAAGACTAGAACGCACTAACCTCACCAATAGTTTGACCTCTTAAAGCTTATCAGCTCACCTCAACAAGGTAAATAATTTATTACAAGCGGCAAAGTAGTCAAACAAAACATTTATAGGCCTGGGTCTACAGGTCTATGGTCTGGCTGCACTCCTGCACTTTATTTGAAAACCTAGTTTTCGTTCAGCCACACCAAAACGATAAGCCAGCGTTTTCAAGAAATTCCACTATGGTAATCGTTTTCTAAAACGTGCAGTTTTGTTGTCCGAAAACTCCGTTTCGCGCGGGTTCCCCGTTTTCAAAAATAACCCGATACGCGAAGACAGTGCCTAAGGCCCCGTCCACACGTGTCTGTTTTTGCTTTTTTTTTTGTTTGTTTGTTTGTTTTCTCAATAAAACCGTTATTACTTTCATTTGCTCACTGTGGTGAGAGCACTAGCCTCCCACCAATGCGGCGCGGGTTCAAATCCCAGCGATCCGGCGCCATATGTGGGCTGGGTATGTTGTTGGTTCTCTCTCTTGCTTCTAGAGGTTTTTTTCCAGGTACTCCTGTTTTGCCCTCTCCTCAAAATTCAATTTTGCTTTCTGGAACACTAAGACGCATTTGAACGACCTCTTAAGAATTTAAAAGTCCTGAGAGCTTTCCGGGTAAACAAATTTATCATTCTTTTTAAAAGAAATCTCAATTCACAAACACCACAAAATATACTCAGTTGCTACTCCTATTAACCCTCGGACGTAGATGCAAATTCATACCCCCCCGTGGTACAAGGGGGCGGGGGCGTGGATGGAACCCCTCCTCGGAGTTTTTGATATGTTGCCGTATTTTGAAACGATTTTACCTTTAGTGGAAAGCCTTTGATCTTCTTAACAAGATGAGGTATATTTTAAAGGTGGTGGTGCTTCTGGAGGCATGTGA